AGCTATATATATATAACCTGATAGAAGTAGAAAATATTGAGAATTCGATACCGAACCAGTGACTCAATGGTAACGTGATATCCAAGGAATCTGGAGGTGTGGAGGTCATAAGTATGCACTAGCACAGTCTCATACTAGTTGAATGAAACAGTTTTCAAGTGCTGTTATGTACAGTTTATTCGGAGAGATTTCTGCGATTGATATCGTATTTCAGCTTAAGATAATCAGTGAAATGTGTCGATTTCATGATTCATTTTATACTGTCATACAGGATAATCATCAGTCAGCATAATGAATATATATGAAATTAGACATTCTAATCATTCATCACATAAATTACAAGATCTACGTTGACATTTTCATGTAACTGATTAAATTTTCAACCGCTTAAATGTGATATCAACAAAGCTGTTGTTAAAAACCACCGAGTTGAGATCATAAAGTATCATCACAAACACAGATGTTTCGTTAATTAATGAGATATACTTCTGAATAACACAGACAGTTAGAAAACACTGATGATCTTTTGAACTGTTCGACTGAAGCGGAAAATAATTCGTCAAAAGTCAGAGCCTAAGATTTGACAAGATTCAGTATTGATGCTCACCTTCATAGTTTTAATGGACTAGTTAAGTTGAAGGTAAATAGTCGAGCGTCTACGCGATTTGATATATGGTCGTGTTATGTTGCGTTGCTTCTACGCGATCCCCTAGCCAACTATTCAGAACCAATCAGTATTTTAGGATGGCCTATCAAATAAACTATTCTCATCTGGCTACCCGATTGTGTTGTCTGTTGAATTTGGCGAGTATTCCACAAGTAAGAAGAGTTATTAACTGACCTCCGCATCAATGTAATCTATATTTGTATAGATATACACTTCCGATGAGCGAGACGGTGGAATGAATGATCAGAACATTTTGATCTGGCTAAAGAATTCTATAACTCAGTGAGACTGAGCTTAGCTACTCAGTTGTTCAGTAGTACATCATATCAGAACCTCGCCTGGTTAACTAGTTCACTGGTTACTAGCAGGTCCCAAGCCTGGATAAAGAGGGAAGATTGGGCATAGGGCTAGCAACCCTACCCCATAAAGCTAATCCAATCACTAAGAAACTCCAAAGCACAAAGAACATATGAAAAATGAAGACAAACTTATTCCTTGCAGGAATCGGAGTGACGAAATGACGCCAGTTGGTGAAAGCCTTCGGGAAGCCAATTGGCCGATGTGTCTTCTCTCGATGAAAGCGAAAGTAAACATGGGGACATAGAATGTCCGCAACATGTATGAATCTACCAAGGCTCCCCAGATTCCAAAAGAGATGAGGTGTGGGGAATAGAAGTGCTTGGAATCTGTGAGAGCAGATGGGATGGAATTAGACTCTCCAAACTCTTAACTGAAGAGTCAATAATCTACTCCGATATTGTCACAGTGGGTCGGTAAATCAACTAGGAATTTGTTGAATGCTGGAGGTTGACAGTCGATATACATGCGTCGTCAGCGGCCATAGCAGTTTCCCAAATCATAACAGTTTATATTTAAACAAGCTTTCTTCTAATTTATTAATTGTTGTCTTATACTGTTTCATTGGGAAACATTAGTCAATTAACTGTCTTTATCGTATTGTAGCCTAAATGGCTTTATCGTGCACTTGGATTGTGGACCATGTTAATCACTTGTGCAAATTCATTAGCTGTAAATCTAACACAAGAGTAGGAAAGACTCGGACTAAAACGCATCATGAATATCCGGTCTTGTGTATGCAGTTCAGTTAGCGATTCATAGACAGATAGATATAGAATCTTGCACATGACTGTATCAGTTGAAGTTGGTACATTTCAAGGTCATATTCAAAGAACAGACGTATAGAAAAAGACTCATATCAAAGTAGATAAAGTAGTGTGAGACAATAAACAATCTGAGGATAAAGGTAAATGGAAATATTCACGATTTAGAAGATATCAAGGTGTGAATACATCTGCTACGCTGTAATCGATTTCCAACCATCTCATCAAGAGTCTTCAACAACTGATTCCTATCATCTCGGGGAACCTCAACTAGGCAGCATATACTTCCCTACACAACTCAGACCAACGATCAAGAACTTCATAGACTGGTGCTACATTTTGGTCTGGCCAACCTGAACGTTCTTTCAACGTAATCTAACTTTCTGGAGTATGGCATGTCGAGGTTGGCGATTCATAGGCGTTGAGAAAAGCGTAGATATAAACAAGCGCAAGTGTATTCAGACAATGAGAGATGTATAGAAAGCCATGGTCAGGTGATAGTGTTATACTTGGCAGTAATCACAATCAATCAGATGAAACAAAGTCAGAAGTTTAACTGTAATTATGATATGAAGCGATATGAATTTCTTAGAACAATGGAGATGCACCTTACTGACTTAATCAATATCTACATAAGATCAAGGAGTATTGCGTAACGGTCCACGTTGCCACACTTCATATCACAAAGTGTGTATACATCTGAATCAATGTCATCGGTTCTCAGCCATATCACCTAGAGTCTCCAACCACTGGTTTCTCTTGTCTTGCGCACCCCAACCTACTAGTCTGCATGACTCAAACCAACAGTCAACGATTTTATGCATTGATGCCACATTTCACACTGGCCGCCTTGAGCCTTTGTCTAGCCAACATTGCGCGATGAGGCAGATGGTGAGTAGGTACGGGTAACACATGTCACAGCCTTCTAAGTCGTTGGAAGTTCTTTTACAACCTCACCAACTAGCTTACCTCTCCTCCCTAAAACTCTACGCTTGAATTCTGAGTTAGTAATGTGGTAAACAAAAGGATACAGCATAGTGGTCAAACACCTGAAGCCTTCTCATATCCTCTGCCTCTGTAAACTGGCATTTGACACCAAGATAGGTGACTTTCAATCACTGATGACCACTACGCTCCTTCAATATAAATAAAGTGAGTAAGTAGTCCGGATTATTATTCATTATTTTTCTTTGGGTTCCTAGTGGAACATAGGGATTCAGTAGCACGCCTCCACTCCACTCTCTTCTCAGCAGTCTTCTCAACCTGGCTCCACCACTGCCAACATCCTTTCATTTCTTCCTCACACCATCTCCTTCATGTCACCCTCACCTCGGACGACCAACTCGTCGTTTCCCCTTTGGATTCCACTCGTGACCCTGGCCTGGCGTGTAATGTCCCCAGACAGTGTATGCCCAATCCATCTCCACTTCCTTCCAGTGCATATTTGTTGGGTAATACGTTCTTGGTTGGTGCCTTCCCAGTTCCTTGTTGCTAATTCTTTCTCACCTTCTCAACTGATCTTCAGTATCGAGTGAGCGTAGGCGGCAGCTGTTGATGAATGTCTGTAGTTTGTTGGGAGTGCTTTACATGACGTGCCAAGTTTCCGAACCATATGGCAGCGCTGACTTGACTGGCATTGGTGTTGAAAATTCCGATCTTCTTCTTTGTGCCGAGTGGAGTGCAGTAGATCTCCACAGTGATTTCAGATGAATGAAAGCCTGTCTTGCTGTCTTTCCAATCTTGGCTTTGACGTCTTCATCTGTGCCATCTGTAGTTGAAACGATGCTGCCTAGGTAGGTGAAAGAGACTACTTCCTTTAGGCTCCTCCCGCTAATGATGATTAGTGCTTGTTGTTGTTGATGCCGTTGTTGGTTGGGTACCTTGATCACCTCTGTCTTCCTTACGTTCACTTGAAGTCCCGTCTTCCTTGGCTGCACTGCCTCTTCTGTCAACTTGTTACTCTTTGCCTGTAGATTTTTCGAGTTTGTGCAACATTAAAAACAAATCGTCGGCGAAATCCAAATCTTCTAGGATATTTTCATCAATCCAGCGTATGCCCATCTTCTCGCTCCTCATTGTCTGCTGCATGATCCAGTCCACCACAATCAGGAAGATCATGGGTGATAGCAGGCAGCCTTGTCTTATCATTGTATTCACTTCGAAGGCGTCACTGAGCTTTCCATTGTGAATCACTTGGCATGTGGCATCTTCATATAGCTGTTGAATGTGGTTGGTAAAGATTAGTGGCACTAACTCCGTAGTGTTGAAGCAACTGCGAAATTACTTCTCGGTCCACGCTTTCAAAGGCTTTTTCAAAGTCGATGAAGTTGAGGTAGAGAGTTGACTGCCATTCTATACTCTGTTCTATGATGATGCATAGCGTACCGTTGCAATTTGATGCACAGATGATTTGTTCTTCCTGAAGCCGGTCAGCCAGTCTGTTCCGGTTGCAGTTCTAAATCCAGTGCATCTTTTAGTCTCTTCAGGATGATGCGGCATAATATTTTGCTTGGGGTGGACAACAGTATGATTTCTCGTCAGTTGTTGCAAAGACATAAGTCTTCTTCCAATCAATAGGCAGGTATCTTCCCTTCCTTGCAAACCTTCTGCAATAGTGGTGTGCACATGTCCACTGTTTTCTTTGCGTTTGTTTTCACTGCTTCTAGAGGAATTCTATCTGGTACTGCTGCTTTCCTGAAATTTTAGCAGTTTTATAGCATTCAGGATGTCTGCTTTTGTTGGAGGGCTTGTGTTTATTGGTAGTTTTGCCGTTTCTGGCTAACACCAAGATAAATGACTTTAAATCACTGATGATCACTACGTTTCGAATATTAGAATTTGTACTTATGTGCATGTATATGCTTTATCTTCAAAGATGACAACGGAACACACTAAAATGACAGCAACTTCCAATCAAAACTTTCATATTTCATCTTTTTTTCTTCTTGTTGATTATGTGATATGATAGATAGTGGATAAGCATTAGAATCTAGGACAAATATTTCATCCCATTTACAACTCATCAGTTGAATTTATCTACCCCTCTCAGTGAGTCAATCATCTTCTTTCCACTAGGAATCGAAGCAAACAAACTATAATATCTAAATATAATTGTATAATACAAAGTTCCAAGATTTTTGATTGTTGTAGATAAAACAGAAAAATATTTCCTAAAAATCTACTATACACAAACAAATTAGTTTATCCTTGTACTATCTTGAGAAATAAGCTTTTGCAGAATCCCATTCCACCATAGAGAAACGTTTTTCAAAGCTATATCTCTTATCTACAATAGAGAATATAGGATATATATATATATATATATATACATACATATTAGCAGATATCTTGTGTACACAAGACATATAATAAAAGCAAAAGGTCTCAGTACTTTTTTTTTGTCTCAAAACTGTAATACAACAACACATTGTCAATTACTACTTTATTCATATGCTTGTAATTCTCTGTTTGCTTTTATTGGATCGAATTGTTCAACATCTATTGGTATATCTAGAATACTCAGACGATATAGTCCTGTTAGTCGCCTAATAACATTTTGAGTGACGATTTGAGATGCGTTTCTCACTATTCAAAATGGAACTAATATCCTGTCTGAGATTCGAACCCGCGTCAACCAGTATTGTAGTCAACGATTTTCTATCTATCGTATTCAAATCAATGTAAGACAAGGCATTACTGCGTAACGGTTCAATTTCCTGCCACACTTCATATCACCACATCAAGTAAAAAGCCAATGAAGTGGAAGATGAAGAAAAGAAAATCCAGTCGAAAGAAATATAAAGTACTAAAAGGGAGAAAGGAAGAATGAGAGAATGGTGAGATTCGGTATAGCCTCGTTAAGATGACATCGGTTCTGAGCCATGTGATCACCTAGAGTCAGTCTGCAACCACTGCCATCTCTTGTCCCATGGACCCAAACTATCTAGTCTGCATCGCCCCACCAAATGGCTCAAAAAAACAGTTAGAGACTTCATACATTGATGTCATGTTTTAGTCTGGCCACCTCGGGCCTTTTTCCAGCCTGAACCTACTTCAACCAACATTGTGTGAGGAGGTAGATGGTGGCTAGGCATACGTAACACATGTCCCAACCAGCCATCTCAGTCGATCAAGGTCCACAACTACATCAGCTGACTTACCTTTTCTCCCTAAAACTCTACACCTGACTACATTTGACTTCTGCATACCTAGTCGTCACCGACCTCGAGGTGCCATGCCACATCAAAGTAGGTGATGACTAGGTATGACAACACGAGTCCAAACCATCTCAGTCGGTGAAGGTTCAAAACCGTGTAAACTAACTTACCTTTTCTCCCTCTCTTAGACTCTACACCTGCCTGCATTATTCACGTGGTGACACCACGGAACACAGTGGAATCCCGGACACTTGTTCTGTTCGATTCATAACTCACTAGTCAGTTGAGTTTATCTGCCTCCTAATGAGCACTGTTCTAGTCTTAGTGAGTGGGGTTGAACCTATGACCCCAGACCAATAGAACTATAGGTCCAGTGGCCAGAAGTCTGTTTCCTAAGGCGAAGCGAACACTTCTTCTAGGTACTTCATTGAAATAAACACAATCATAAACTATTTTGACGGTGAGGAACAGTAAAGAAGTAAAGTCTGAATTGATAAACATTTTCACTTATAGTCACTGGTTCTGTGCACATATTTATTTGATGGTAGACCGATGTTTTTTCCACTATATGATTATTTAAAGTTAGTGAATAGGGTAAAATACTAATTAACATCTTTATTCACTCAATGGTTGATGAGAATTGATTGAATTCCAGTCAGTTATGATCACATGTTGACATCAAGTAAAGAGAAGCGTTGAAAATTTGAAACTATTGGACAACTGTTCTATCCCGATTCCAAATTCCTGAATAGTATTAATCAATGCATGGGGAGATATGACAATTCCTCACAGAATCGTAATGTACTTCATTTCCTCTCCGCCTTCTATCTCAATTCGCTCTAGATACGCCCAACATTGTCTCTTGTAATTCTATAGGCAGTATATTTACTCATTGCTGGTAACTGTCTATGATTTCTGTCGCCCTCTCAACATATACTACTTATATCGATCCTGGTAAGCAACGCCCCATACACTTGTCCCCCATTCAAAATTTCAGGCTTTTAGCCGTGTTGATCGTCTTAGTGTTCATGCGAACTTTCTTACTTTTTCCACCGTCTCCATTTTTAAAGTAGGCTGGTTTTTACTTTTTTTTTCTTTGTCCCATTTTCTGATGGTATAAACTAAACCACGTTTCTCGGTAACTATGTATGGTCCTTCCCACTTCGGGAGCAGTTTCCCTGTACCATATTCACCTCCTGACGTATATCCTCCTTTTTTACATTTCACTTGATCTCCAACCTCAAACGGTTTCCATTTACTTCCTTCTCTCTGCTCGAATTTTTCAGCCTCAGCTTTCTGTTTTTGTTCCGTATTTCTGATTGCTTTTTTCTGCTCCTTTCTCAATCTTGTCGTGTTCCACGGCTGTTGTTGGGGTCAGGTCAGGCATTGGGAGCCGTGGATTCCTGCCATAAATCAATTGAAACGGCGACTTCTTGGTTGTTCCTTGTACCGAGGCACGATGCGAGAATAATGTTAACGGCAGTTCCATCTCCTAAATCCCTCCTTGGCTTTCGAAGCCAGCCGCTCCTTAGGTGTACGGTTATTCCGTTCTCTCAACTCACTAGTCTGGGAGTGGTACGGAATTGTTCTCATCCTCTTGATATCGAGCAGCTTTCGCTCGACTCCTCAGCCACGTGCCATGCACCACAACTTTCACTCCTAGATCCCAGATACCCATCAGCTCCGCGACCAACTCGAAGTTCCTAAGAAAGACCTTGATGTGTCCATCCTCGAACACTGTAAGCCATGGAATCTTCATTCATCACGTCTAAAAGCAGCGACACCAATTAGGTAAAACCAAAAGACATAAACGAAGGAAGGGAGGAATGTTTACTATTAGCATCTAGCACAGTAGTCATCAAATATTGTACATCGTCCACTAAGACAGTCGTTTAAATAATATCCTTCATTTCCTGTTCTCCTTCTATCTTGATTTGCTCTTAATACGACGGCGTTGCCTCTTGCGTTCCTTTGAATAGAATACTTCCCCATTGGTGGTAATTTCCTATGATTTCAGCCACCCTGTTGATATATACTACTTATATCCATACTGATCAGCAACATCCACTACACTAATACGTACTTGGCTGCTTAAAATCATTTCGCCGTTGATGGAAACAATATTCAAATGCATGATTTATTGAATTGAATGTCAACCCTCAATCAATCAATATCAACATAGGACCAGGCATCACTATTTAACAGTCCGAGTTGCCATCACACCTCATATCACCACATCAACTAGAAAGGTAGTCAGGTGAAAAATGAAGATAAGAAAGAAATATAAAGTACGAGAAGAAAGGAAAGAGGAGTGACAAAATGGTGAGATTCGGTAAAGCGTTAAGATGAGGACAATGTGTATGGCGAAACATCTGCGCCACTAACATCGGTTGTCAGCCATGTGATCACCTAGAGTCAGTGTGCAACCACTGCCATCTCTTGTCCCACGGACCCAAACCACCTAGTCTGCATCGCCCCACTAAATGGCTCAAACCATTAGTCAGAGACTTCATACATTGATGCCATGTTTTAGTCTGGCCATCTTGGAGCTTTCTCCAGCCTGAACCTACTTCAACCAACATTGTGTGAGGAGGTAGATGGTGGCTAGGCATACGTAACACATGTCCTAACCAGCCATCTCAGTCGATCAATGTTCACAACCGTGTCAACTAATTTACCTCTTCTCCCCAGAACTCTACACCTGACTTCTGTATTACTCACCTGGTGACACCACACAATACAGCCTATACCACGAAGGCAACGGTGGTCAAACACTCGAAGCCTTCTCATATCTTCCACACTCAATGGTCATGTTTCATAGGCATCGAGTAGAAGAGAGTGTACTGGTGTGCAGTACATATGACCCTTAACAGATGATCGGGTATCACAGCGGCGCCACAGATGGTCGACATATTCAACCCCTTCACTCTCTATTGTTAGCCGAGGCACAGTTGAACAATCCTGAGGTAACAATTTTGCATTTACTTGGTGAGAAACGCATCAAAAACATTCTCAAGTTCCCAACCAAAGTGTTCACAAGACTCTGTATCTTGTCAGCGTCTTCACAGAACTAACAGGACTATATCATCTGCATATTCTAGGTCTAACAAAAATTCTCCTATGATTAAGTCAACATCTGTGTAACCTGGTGACGAGACGGAGACCTGTATAACAATATCTATGATGAAATTGAATAAGAATGGAGGGAGTGGGCATCCTTGACGGACACCACTTGATGAGCATAGCTTCCTGGACAACTCACCATAGGCTTTAACATAACCGCAAGTGTTCGAGCAGAGAGCTTTCAATAAGGTGATATATTTACTCGGTACACCTTTCAGTGAGAGACATTGCCATTTAACTGTTCCACCTTGGAGCTTTTTCCAGCCTGAACCTACTTCGACCAACATTATGTGAGGAGGCAATCGACGACTCTAGGCATAGGTAACAAATGTCCTTGTCATCTATCTCAATCGATGAAAATTCATAAACTCGTCAACTGATTTATCTCTACTCCCTAGAATTCTACACCTGACTTCTGCATTACTCACGTGGGAATGTCAACCCTAACCCTAGACCAATGAACCTGAACACAATTCCTTTCAATATGTCTCTAGCTAGGTAATATAGTAGTGTATTTTTAAATATAACTTTTTATTCTCATAAAAGAAATCATCAATCTCATCAGGATTAACTCACCTAAGAATTCATCATTATAACTATTAGATGAATTATTCACTTTTGTTAAAGTATCCATCTGTTTCTCAAGTAAACGTTCCTACATATATAATAAACGCATAAATATATGACAACAAAAAAAATTATATGGTAAACATTGAAATTACACTTATACTAGTGTAGTCGAAACACTTTAAAATGCGGTAAAACAAAAATATGCATTTTAACAACAACAACAACAACAAAAATTACCTTACTGATCAACAATCAATTTTATGTTGTATTACTCCTAAGTGTTGATCATATTCTATCGATTTTTCGATAATATATTCATAATAAGCATCATAATACTGAACAGATCAATCTAGGACTGGGAAGGCATTACTGCATAACGGTTCAATTTCCCGCCACATCTTATATCAGTACGGCGTCGTTAAGATGAGGATAATGTATGCATACATCTGTGCGACTGACATAGGTTTTCAGCCATGTGATCACCTAGAGTCAATCTCCAACCAATAGTCCATCTTGTCCCATGGACCCCAGCCGACTAGTCTACATCGCTCCACCAAATGGCTTAAACCAATAGTCAGAGACTTCATGCATTGATGCCATGTTTTAGTCTGGCCACCTTGGGTCTTTTTCCATCCTGAACCTATTTCGCCCAACATTGTGTAATGAGGCAATCGACGACTAGACATACGTAACGTGTTCGAGCCATTTCAGTCGATAAAAGTTCACAACCTCGTCAACTGACTTACCTCTTCTCCCTAAAACTCTACTACAGACTTCTGCATTACTCACATGGTGATACCACGGAATACGGCGTAGATATTAGACAGGTTAGATGAAGATGATCAACAGCAAGTCATGGTTTACCTGAAGGAAATAATATCGATTTAGAGATTTAAACCAGTATCATGATTAAGATCAACATAGAACCGGATATTTATTGCATAACAGTCCAATTGCCACTTCTCATATCAGTACATCAAGTTACAAAATAATAAAGTGGAAGATGAAGAAAGAAGAATGAGAAAAATGATGACAATAATGTGTGTATAAATCTACACCATTGAGTCATATATCACCTAGAGTCTCCAATCACTGGTTTCTCTTATCCTGCCGACCTCCAAAAGTCAATGATTTCATATTTTAGCGAACGTTGTGTGACGAAACGAGACGGTGGCTAGACATACGTAAAATATGTCCCAGTCATCTTAGTCAATCAAGGTTTAAAAACCACATTGGGATATGAACCAGCGATAACCGAATTCCCGACCCTGTGCTCTACCAAAGGAGCTACGAGACACGTCTCCTGATCACCACATATTTTTATTTTACTTCAATCACCAAGACTCTTGGCGCCAACTGCCATGTCAATTTCTTACCTGTTACTATCTCTGGTTGTTCAGTGAGAACTTCCTATCCCAATCCAAATGTAATTGAACTGGAAGGGGACACCAGCATCATGTTGATTATTATTTCAACTATCTAAGTGAGATAATCGAGGTTTAGCAGACTTGTATTATTGATATTATGTGATGATTAAAGGTGACCACAAGAATATTCGAACCAGAGAATCTCAAGGATGTGTAGTAGTGTAGTAATCACGGGAGAATCTTCGTTAGACCTAGAATACGCTGACAAGATGCAGAGTCTTCTGAACAACTTAACTGGCAAACTGAGAATGTTTGTGATGCGTTTCTCACCAAGTAAATGCAAAATTGTTACCTCAGGACTGTTCAACTGTGCCTCAGCTAACAATAGAGAGTGAAGTGGTTGAATATGTTGACCACTTCGCTTATATGGGAAGAAGGATCAGCTCTAGTATGTTGGTTAGTGGCCGATAAAATCTCTGCACAAATACAAAAGGCTCGGCTGGCTGGCTGGCTTGCGCCAACTTACACCATCTGTGTTGCCGCTGTGATATCCCATCGTCTATAAAGGGTCATATGTACTGCACACCAGTACACTCTCTTCTACTCTATGCCTGTGAAACATGACCATTGAGTGTGGAAGATATGAGAAGGCTTCGAGTGTTTGACCACCGTTGACTTCGTCGTATAGGCTGTATTGTGTGGTGTCACCAGGTGAGTAATACAGAAGCCAGGTGTAGTCAGGTGTCGAGTTCTGGGGAGAAGAGGTAAATTAGTTGACACGGTTGTGAACATTGATCGACTGAGATGGCTGGTTGGGACATGTGTTACGTATGTCTAGCCACCATCTACCTCCTCACACAATGTTGGTTGAAGTAGGTTCAGGCTGGAGAAAGCTCCAAGATGGCCAGACTAAAACATGGCATCAATGTATGAAGTCTCTGACTATTGGTTTGAGCCATTTGGTGGGGCGATTGGCGGGACAAGAGATGGCAGTGGTTACAGACTGACTCTAGGTGATCACATGGCTCAGAACCGATGTCATCTTAACGAGGCTATACCGAATCTCACCATTCTCTCATTCTTCCTTTCTCTCTTTTCGTACTTTACATTTCTTTCGACTGGATTTTCTTTTCTTCATCTTCCACTTCATTGGCTTTTTACTTGATGTGGTGATATGAAGTGTGGCAGGAAATTGAACCGTTACGCAGTAATGCCTTGTTTTATGTTGATTTGGATGGGATGGATGTGTAGTAGAGCTCCAACTGTCTAGATATGATCCTTTGAGTAAGTGATAATAAAAAGTAATGGTAATTTTAACTGATCTGTCTTAGAATCGATCTCTTTTTTTAACAGAAACATGTAAATTATTACAGGGTAATTTACACGTTAAGAATCTTATGAAAGTTGAAGAACATTGAATATGCTTAGTGAGTTAAAGCTGCAGTCAAAATCCATATGGAGCCTGGCTCTTCTTCTGTATAACAGTTCAATTTGCCACACTACTCATATCCACTTACAAGGCAGATAGTTGAAAGATGCAAAAATATGGAGAGAAGGAGTGAAATAAATCACAGAGTGGGATACAATGAAGAGAGAAAATCTACACATCGCTACATGGCTCAAAGTAACATTCTAGGACTTCATGGACTGGTGCCATGACTTAGTTTGGTCAATCTGAACCTACTTCTGACCTTATTCTACTTCTTCCATTATAGTATTTCGAGGAAGGCAGTGGATCGATATGCACAGCACATATCAAAGCCATGTCAATCGACTTGCCTACTGAGTACACTGGACCTGGTTCCACTAAACGTAAGGAATAGTATAAAGATATTTGTGATTCATACCTTGTAATCCTTTCATATGGTCCACTTTTAACGGGCATTTTTCACAACTATACAGAAGGATTCAATGGACTACAGGGTAGTATCCTCATCCTTTAATAAGTAGTCGAATATCTTATAAGTCGATAACACCAGAGATGACACAAGTTGACAAATGCTAAATGGCGACTTCTGTATCAAGTAAACAGATAAACAACAACAACAACAAATAATGTATCTCACTTCTATATAATTCGCCAAAATACTCGAACTAAGTTCACTTTCCAAGATTGTTGTATTCGGTATATGCTGATAACAGCAAGCAATTAAAGTTGGATATAGAATATCTGTCAATGGACGATGACTGAAATATTCAAATGGTAATGATAAAAGACGTTGTAAAAGATTTGGTGAAGGACCACATTGAAGATTAGTCTGATTTTCTAAATTTAAAGCACACAAATGACCCATACATAGTATAGCTTCATGTAAAATGTTCTCTGTTATTCCATGAGTGAAGTCTTTAAAGTGTCTAGATGAAAAATAGAACAACAACATAGAATAGATAAGCATTGAAAATCATGAACAATTTTATCAAGGGAGAAAATAATCCATTAAAGTCCTTTGTAATCATGCAACCTGTAATGAATATCTCCATATATCAGTTAAGTCTTACCCCCTTAGAAGTATCAAATGACAAGCTAATACAAAGGCCTCTTAAATGTCAAACACAAATGGCTGAAATTCTGTTTCATTCATTCCAGGGTAACATAACAACACGGAATTACTTCTTATCAGTTGACTGTACACAGCAGCTGTATACAGCATACAAAAAGTGTAGAACAACATTGGTAGCCTAATGTATAAGGTGATGAACAACAAGTGGAACACACTTAATCATCTTGTGCAATTGACAGCAATGAGTTATACACCTATGATATAATGGCTAGCTGTCCAAACCATCTAGGAAAGTGGATCAGGGTTTCAACTTGCCATCCATTTGGTTGATAGTTATCTCTCTAAACTACTGAGTCACAACTCTATACGAAGTTGTAATGTTGTCTACATGATACATCTAGGCGTTCCAATGAAATTAAAAGTGTAAATTGCCTCAGTAGAGACAAAGAATCTACTGGAGTACTTAAGATGGATAAGGCATACACTAAAAAGACTATCCGATGACATCATGCGTCGGGGCCCTTGAGTGGAATTCAAACGGGAGACGACGAGTTGAGTGTCCGAGGCGAGGGTGACATGAAGAAGAGCATATGAAGAAGAAATGAAAGCTTATGCACAGTCGTGGAGCCAATTTCAAAAGACTGTAGAGAAGAGAGTGAAATAAAGACGTGCTACTGAAGCCCTATGTTCCATTAGGAACCCAAGGGACAAATAGTAATAATATTCACTTTAGTGTTATTGTTTGTATTACACCGTCATTGATTGGACCGAATTGGTCAGTCTCTGTTGGAATATGGGCCCCTGTGCAGATAACGCTCTCGTGTTCGAAGCGATCGCCACTCGAGTCCGAATTTCGATGGGAACAACATCACTCACTGCGAGGCAGGTACATTCAGATGAAGAGTCCCCAAGAGGACGAAATGTGCATCCTGGATTCCACTGCGCATCATTACTATACATAATTAAAAGACAGACAATATCGAGGCATCCGCACAAAAGTCCATATGCCAACAGAGACTGATCAATTCAGTCCAATCAACGATAGTATAATACAAGCAGTAATACTAATAATATTCACTCATAAGAAATTAACAGTTCATTTGTTTATTGATTTCATCTAATGCAAAACTTTACGCACGTTGATGACTTACTTTTCATGATGAACAGTATCAAAATGATTACTTGAATTGTTTGTTCTGACCAATTGACTGTCTTCTCCATTGATAAATTTCAACTTTGGATTTCTTTTAATAACAACTTTTCGAGCACCACTTGGAAGAAGATCGTCTGTATCACCGTCTTCATCACCAACAACACCAGGAGCAGCGATATCAGTATGTTGATGATTATCAGATTTATTACCTTTCCCTTTTCTAATTGATTCTGAATAATGATTGATATTGAACTCATGTTGTTGTTGTTGTTGGAGGTGGTGATGATGGGGGACAGGAGGAGAAGTAGGACACAAATGAGGCATCATATGACTAGTGTTCACTTGTTGAGGAACACAACGTGTCAGAAGATTGACTAATATATGTCGCATTAATAAGCATATCAATTCACTACCAAGAATCGACTGGAATAATAATAATAATAATAAAGATAACAAATGAATGTGTTCAACAGAGAAAAATACAAAAATGTGATTATCCAATCAAAGTGACTACTCAACTGTGATGATGATGTTTTTCCTCGAATTCTTCTTATTCCATATTAGACTTATTTATTCGATTTATAACACAGTGATCGTTACGAAAGGCATTTCCAATAAACTACAGACATTCATCAACAACTGCTTACGCTCGCTGCTGAAGATCAGATGGCCAGAAAAAATAAGCAACAAGGAACTCTGGGAACGAACCAACCAAGAACCTATCACGCAACAAATATGCAGGAAGAAGTGGAGATGGATTGGCCATGCACTGAGAAGGCCGACTGAGGACATCACGCGTCAGACCCTCGAGTGGAATCCCCATGGGAAGCGACGAGTTGGACGTCCGAGGGTGACATGGAGGAGGTCATGCGAGGAGGAAATGAGAGCTTCTGGGCTGTCGTGGGACCAGGTTGAAAAGATCTCAGAGAACAGAGGTCACTGGAGGCGTGCTACTGAAGCCCTATGTTCCACTAGGAACCCAAGGGACTAATAATAATAATAATAACACAGTGATATAGTATTATTTACCATTACTATTATTAGTATTACTAAAATACCGATAATTATTAGTCGGTACCTTTAAAAATTGAATTCTGAGACCAGATGAATATGAAAAGTGTAATGATGATTGATTAGAAATGATATTCTATCACAACGCCTAGCTAGAACAGTCACAACAGGACGTTTTATGCAGATTGGTCAGTAGTCAGCCAATGCTCAGTCTGAGATTAAAGGATAACCTACCTCATCTTAGCTCTTCATCTTGCATATATCAATTTAACTGTTCCTGTGGAACAGTTAAATGGCAATGTCTCTCACTGAAAGGTGTACCGAGTAAGTAAATCACCTTATTGAAAGCTCTCTGCTCGAACACTTGCGGTTATGTTATAGCCTATGGTGAGTTGTCCAGGGAGTTATGCTCATCAAGTGGTGTCCGTCAAGGATGCCCACTCCTCCATTCTTATTCAATTTCATCATAGATATTGTTATACAGGTCTCCGTCTCGTCACCAGGTTACACAGATGTTGACTTAATCATAGGAGAATTTTTGTTAGACCTAGAATATGCAGATGATATAGTCCTGTTAGTTCTGTGAAGACGCTGACAAGATACAGAGTCTTGTGAACACTTTGGTTGGGAACTTGAGAATGTTTGTGATGCGTTTCTCACCAAGTAAATGCAAAATTGTTACCTCAGGACTGTTCAACTGTGCCTTAGCTAACAATAGAGAGTGAGAGTAGTGGTGGAATATGTTGACCACTTCGCTTATATGGGAAGAAGGATCAGCTCTAGTATGTTGGTTAGTGGCCGATAAAATCTCTGCACAAATACAAAAGGCTCGGCTGGCTGGCTGGCTTGCGCCAACTTACACCATCTGTGTTGCCGCTGTGATATCCCATCGTCTATAAAGGTTCATATGTACTGCACACCAGTACACTCTCTTCTACTCTATGCCTGTGAAACATGACCATTGAGTGTGGAAGATATGAGAAGGCTTCGAGTGTTTGACCACCGTTGACTTCGTGGTATAGGCTGTATTGTGTGGTGTCACCAGGTGAGTAATACAGAAGTCAGGTGTGGAGTTCTAGGGAGAAGAGGTAAATTAGTTGACACGGTTGTGAACATTGGTCGACTGAGATGGCTGGTTGGGACATGTGTTACGTATGCCTAGCCACCATCTACCTCCTCACACAATGTTGGTTGAAGTAGGTTCAGGCTGGAGAAAGCTCCAAGATGGCCAGACTAAAACATGGCATCGATGTATGAGGTCTCTAACTGTTGGTTTGAGCCATTTGGTGGGACAAGAGATGGCAGTGGTTACAGATTGACTCTAGGTGATCACATGGCTGACAACCGATGTTAGTGGCGCAGATGTATCGCCATACACATTGTCCTCATCTTAACGCTTTACCGAATCTCACCATTTTGTCACTCCTCTTTCCTTTCTTCTCGTACTTTATATTTCTTTCTTATCTTCATTTTTCACCTGACTACCTTTCTAGTTGATGTGGTGATATGAGGTGTGGTGGCAACTCGGACTGTTAAGTAGTAATGCCTGGTCCCATGTTGATATTGATGATAATGATGGTGTTCCTGTGGTCTTAGTTATATAGGATGCACGATTAGGTAGGTGTGTCTTCGGATACAAGAGGATTTATCAGCTTTGTTAGGAAAGGGAGAAGTGAAAGTGGTGAAAGGTTCACTCGTAGCCCATCTAGTCAACACAGGGCATCATCACATAGATGTTAATAAAGCTTTCAATATCATTCATCGTGTTCCAAAAACGATACCATTGTGTAGCTCATCAACACCTGCTCAACATAGCACAGGCTGTCATAATAAGATTGATCAAGCCTGAACTCTGCATTCAGAAGGAGCATATCGAAGTGTTACTTCTTCCTTGGCCTTCAACAAATAACTAAAGGCCACTCCTTCTATCATATCATTCATTCTGTATATATGTATCATCTCAATATTAACTAAATTTACAAGATATAGATAAATCGATTTCCTTCACAATCCCTAGATCTTACTCCATTTTGAGGATGTAACTGCTGCCAACATGACTTGGTTTTAGCCAACATTTTATAATTGTAGAAGGTGATGAGAGAATTCTGTTGAAAAGTACTATTCTTCGTTGTTCAGATTGTTGCTTTTTATAAGTATTATGGAAGTCATGATAGCCATCCGTTGTGTAACGAGTGGCAAGTACATCCAATTAACAATTGACAAATAGGATGAGACACGCGTTGTACATTCCACTGCTAACCACTCTCCGTCATTATTAACAAAGTGGCTTACTTTTAAATTCATCATTTGGAAATGTAGATATCCAAATAATGAATATTATTTACTGAATATTCCAAGTTGTGTCTAAGTGACAGTATACTACTCAGTTTCTCAACTTCGTAACGATGAAGTAAAAAGGTGATCTAATAGTTGGGTGCCTGACATGCAGAGTAACATCGATTCGTTTCAAAGAGTGTGAAAATGGATATCGGGATAAGTTTTCATCAAAACTAACATCAATTACATTGGTCGTAAACAAGAACTGATAACAGTGGACAAGAAGGCTTTGTTTCTGTGTTTGTAATTCAAAGGAGGCGCTTCAATTGAAATCTTATCACAACGTCTAGCTAGGACGTTTTATGCAGGTTGGTCAGTAGTCAGCCAATGTCCAGTCTGAGACTCAAGAATAACCTACCTAAGCTTATCTCTTCATCTTGCATATATCAATTAAACTGTTCCTGTGGAATTAGTTATATAGGATGCACGATTAGGTAGGTGTGTCTTCGGATACAAGAGGATTTATCAGCTTTGTTAGGAAAGGGAGAAGTGAAAGTGGTGAAAACTTCACTCGTAGCCCATCTAGTCAACACAGGGCATCATCACATAGATGTTTATAAAGCTTTCAATGTTATTCATCGTGTTCCAAAAACGATACCATTGTGTACCTAGCCAACACCTGTTCAACATAGCACAGGCTGTCATAATAAGATTGATCAAGCCTGAACTCTGCATTCAGAAGGAGCATATCGAAGTGTTACTTCTTCCTTGGCCTTCAACAAATAACTAAAGACCACTCCTTCCATCATATCATTCATTCTGTATATATGTATCATTTCAATATTAACTAAATTAACAAGATATAGATAAATCGTTTTCTTTTACAATCTCTAGATCTTACTTGCATTATATTTTGATGAAGAGAAAATAATGAATTGACTAATTTTAAAATATTCAAGGTAATTTCTGCTATCACTATACTACGAAATGATTGTGATTCTTGATAATCAATAAAGATAAGCATATCTGTTGGAAATTTTCTATTGATTATAGATGATGATTCAGTTCGATTTATTGACTTTTTATGATGATGATAATGATGATCAGGAATTATTTCTAATTAAATGAAAAGAAAACATTTAATATAAAGGGCTGAATTAATTATTATCTTAATAAATAAGAAAAAAAATTTAATCATATATAAAGAAATGATGAGTATGTGTTGAATATTAACTGATTATCAAGGTTATATCATCATTTTCGTAATGAAATCTATTTACTAACTGAAAATCCTCACTTAGAGAATCATTTACTCTGGAGGTGTAGTTTATTAGTTTAAAGAGATGACTTTTAATCAGTCAATCGATAAGTTCGAAACCCGCTTCAACTATTGACATGGTTTCAATTATCAGATAGTAGTATAAAGCATAGCATAAAAGTAGTTGAAAAATATAAGAAAGAGCTTACATAGCAGATGATAAGGATTTGTGGAAACCAGCCTTATCTTAGGTCTTTAAAATAAGTCTTGGAGAAGAATATTAAAATCTTCTTCTTCAACAAAATCATAATGCCGATTTAAAATTACCACCGGAATAGGTAGGCTAGCTTCAAGAGAAACAAATCATATGCGGTTCAAATTGCAACCCTACGTTACGCGTCATCATAGCAGACAGCATAGAATGACAGTAAACTCTCAACCTCAACTTCGACTTTGGAAAGGCCTTCAACAGCATCGACCGAAAAGTAATTTGTTAGTTGCTTCAACACTACGGAGTGAGTATCACAAACCTCTGTCAACCTCATTCAACAGGTAAACGCCATATGACGCTAAATGCCAAGTGATTCACAATGGAAAGATCAGTGACGCCTTTGAAGTGAAGAAAGGAGTAAGACAAGGTTTCCCAAAATCACCGATGATTTTCCTGAATATAACTGACTCGACTGGACTGTGCAAAAAACTGTGAGAAGATGGGCATACGCTGTTTTATCGATGAAAAGATAAGAGATTTGAATTTTGTCGATGATTTATATCCGTCTTATGTCGCACAAACTAGAAGATGTACGGGTGAAAACTAACAAGTTCGCAGAAGAAGTAGGACAGTGAACATGAGATGACTTCCATCAGATGAACGTAGAGAAGACACTGGTGATAAAGATAACCAACCACCACCACCACCACCAACAACAACAACAGCAAGCACCAATCACCATCAATAGGAGAAATCTAAACGAAGTTGTCTCTTTCACCTACCTACTCATCTGCCTAGGTAGCATCCTTTCAAATATAGGCAGCACAGGCACAGATGACGATGTCAAAGCCAGGATCGGAAACACAGCAACACACGCCTTCATTAGTCTGAAATAATCAGTGTGAAGATCTAGTGCACTGCACTGTACTCAGGATGAAGAAGATCCGGATTTTCAACACGTAGTCAGTCAAGTAAGTCAGTGCTTCTATGTGATGAGTGAGAGACTTGGCGCCTTACGAAAAGCATCTCCAACAAACTACAGACATACATAATATTAAAAGCTGTCGTCTACACTCACTCGATACTTAAGATCAGATCGGATGACCAGAAAGAGTAATCAAGGGGGAACTCTAGCTAGCTGGCAACGAAGGAAGAAGCCATCGCCCAATAAATATGCAGAAGAACAAAGTGTAAATGGAGTGGATTGGATTGGATTGGACATAAACTGAGAAGACGGTTTGGGGAGATCACGCGTCAGGCCAGTCTAGGCCAGGTCAGGTCAGGCCGTTGAGTGGAACCCAAAGGGGGAAACAACGAGTTGGGTGTCCGAAGATAGGGTGACATGGAGGAGATGGTGTGAGGAAGAAATGAAAGCTTGCAGTGGATCGTGGAGTGAGGTTATAAAGACTGGAAATAAGAGAGTGAAAGGGGGACGTTCTATTGAAGGTGTATGTTCCACTAGGAATCCAAAGGGCAAATAATAATATAATAATATGACTGTTCGCCACAAAATAAGCTCTTTAAACTCCCTCTATTCACCCCCTACAGTTTCTTTTCCCTTGAGTTCACAGTAACGACTATCTTCTCCAGGTCTCCTTTTGCAACATACATGCATACCCAAGTGCTCATATGTAAAACAAAGCTATTATGTTTGAGTATTTGTAAAACGGCTTAAGCTGGAATATGAGAAAAGTGTCATATAAAACTCTAAAGCTAATCACCATATATACAATACTAAACTATGCACCTGCTTATTCTAAGTGTTCTCTTCACACATACTTCTCTTTATTATTTGTTCCCTCATCATCTTCAACCTCACCTGGTTAACTACTTCACTAGTTACTAGTCGATCCTAAGCCCGGATAAAGAGGGAAGGTTGGGCATAGGACTACCAACCCTAGCCCAGAAAACCTATACAATCTCTAAAGAAATTTTAAAGCAGAAAGAAAATATAAAAAATGAAGATAAAATTATTCCTTGCAGGAATCGGAGTGACGAAATGACGCCGGTTGGTGAAAGCCCTCGGGAAGCCAGTCGGCCGATGTATCTTCTCTCGATGAAAGCGAGAGTAAACATACGGACATGGAATGTTCGCACCATGTATGAATCTACCAAGGCTCCCCAGATTCCAAAAGAGATGAGGAAATATGGCATGGAAGAGCTAGCAATCTGCGAAGGCAGATGGAATGGGATTGAACTCTCCAGCTGTCTACTGGTGAGTCGATTATTTACTCCAATATTGTCACGCAGACGACAACTACGAGAACACTGAGTTTTGGAGTGGCTATCATGATATCCACAAGAGCATCAAAAACTCGCAGGCAGTGGGAACAAGTTTCCTTCTGCAGGATCATGACAGCAAGATTCAACTCAAAAGGAAGGAAAGTCACAACCATTCAATCCTGAGCTACGCACCTACAAATAATGCAGACCAAGAGAAGAGGGAGGAATTCTATAGACAACTGCAATCAGTACTAGATAAAACTCCAGTTGGCGACATCAAAACTCTAATGAGTGACATGAATGGCAAACTGGGAGCGGACAACACAGAAAGAAAACGCATCATGGGTCGAGAAGCACTCACTGAAATGAATGAGAATGGAGAACTGTTTACAGATTTCTGCGCACTCAACGATTTGGTGATTGGAGGCAGTGTGTACAAACACATGGATATTCACAAAGCGAGCGACATGGATTCGATTTCACCAGATGGACACACTACACTGAAACTCAGATCGACTTCATCTCAATGTGTAGAAAGTGGAGACACTGCCTACTGAACACAAGATCAGATCAAGAAGGGGAGCAGATGTAGTTTCATATCACTCACTATCTAGTGCAAGGAACCTTCCAAATCAAGTTGAAAACCTTCGAAGAAGTTGGTGATAGACCACAGTTCAAGCCAAACACCCAGAACAAAAACTGAAGGACAGAACTACAAAGGAAATCTTCACGTCAGCCATCAAGACAAAATTGGAGGCAATGAACAACATCCCTGAAGGATCGGGCGTGGAAGAACACTGGAACTCTTTGAAAGCTATGTGCAAAGAAACCTGCATAACCGTATCAGGAAGGAAGAAGAAAGAAGATGAGGAATGGATCTCGACGGATACATGGAAGCTGATAGAGCAGGGAGAGGAAGATGGTGAAGCAGAAAATGAACCAGTGCAAGTATGCACAACGAAAATAAGAACTGAGTACGACGTATAAAACACTCGACAAAAAAGTGAAGAGGAGTGCGCGGAAAGACAAAAGACACTTCTACGACACATTGGCAAGTGAAGCAGAACAGGCTGTAGGTAGGAGGGACAGACACCTGACAACATTATATCAAATAACCAGGTTACTATCTGGGAAGAGATCAACGCAGACGAAAACAATGAAAGATAGTGAAGTGAAGCTAGATACCAAGGAGGACAAACAAAGGAAACAATGGGCTGACCACTTCAAAAACCATTGAATCGACCACCACCACCAGCAACTCGTCCAGAAATACCACCAGCAGCCACAGTCACAGAAATTACGAGTGAACACAGGTCCTTTGACAAAAGCAGAAGTCCTGAATGCCACAAAACTGCTGAAATTCGGGAAAGCAGCAGGACCAGATGGAATCCCACCAGAAACACTGAAACAGATGCAAAGACATCAGCGGACACACCACCACACCACTACTTCAGACGGTTTGGAAAGGAGGAAGGAAAGCGACCTGTCAACTGGAAGAAGGGCTACCTCATCAAACTCCCAAAGAAGGGAGACCTAAGTCTTTGCAACAACTGACGACGAATCATGCTCCAGGCCTGTCCACCACAAGCAAAATATTATGCCGAGTCATCCTGGAGAGACTAAAAGATGCTCTGGATTCAAAATTACCACCGGAACAGCCTAGCTGGCTTCAGGAAGTACAAATCATGTGCGGATCAAATTGTAACGCTACGTTACGTATCATCATAGAACAGAGCATAGAATACCAGTCAACTCTCTATTTCAACTTCGTCGTTTTAAAAAGACCTTCGGCAGCATCGATCGAAAAGTAAATTGTTAGTTGCATTAACACTACAGAGTAAATGCCACTAATCTTTATCAAAGACATTCAACAGCTATGTGACGACGCCACACGCCAAGTGATCAACAATGGAAAGCTCAGAGATGCCTTAGAAGTGAAGACAGGAGTAAGACAAGGCTGCCTGCTACCACCCATGATCTTCCTGATTGTGGTAGACTGGATCATGCAGCAAACTGTGAGGAGCGAGAAGAGGACCATACCGATGTAAAGATCATAGAAGATGTGGATTTCGACCATGATGATTTGTGTTTAATGTCTTGTCGCAGAAACTCAAAGATGTACAGGCGAAAACTAACAAGTTGACAAAAGAGTCAGGGCAACGAAGACGGCACTTCGTTGAGGTGAACGTAGAGTAGACAGAGGTGATCAAGGTACCCAACCAACAACGGCATCAACAACAAGCACCAATCACTCTTAACAGGAGAAAGCTAGAGGAAACAGTCTCTTTCACCTATCCAGGCAAGGCAGCATCGTTTCAACTACAGATGGCACAGACTAGGATGTCAAAACCAGGATCGGAAAGACAGCAAAACAGGCTTTCGTTAATCTGACATCACTGTGGAGATCTACTGCACTCCACTCGGCACAAAGAAGAACATCGGAATTTTCAACACCAATGTCAGTCAAGTCAGCGCTGCTATATGGTTCGGAAACTTGGCGCGTCACGTAAAGCACTCCCAACAAACTACAGACATTCATCAACAGCTGCCGCCTACGCTCACTCTGTACTGAAGATCAGATGAGGTGAGAAAAAATAAGCAACAAGGAACTGGGAAGGCACCAACCAAGAACCTATTACCCAACAAATATGCACTGGAAGGAAGTGGAGATGGATTGGGCATACACTGTCTGGGGACATTACACGCCAGGCCAGGGTCACGAGTGGAATCCAAAGGGGAAACGACGAGTTGGTCGTCCGAGGTGAGGGTGACATGAAGGAGATGGTGTGAGGAAGAAATGAAAGGATGTTGGCAGTGGTGGAGCCAGGTTGAGAAGACTGCCGAGAAGAGAGTAGAGTGGAGGCGTGCTACTGAATCCTTATGTTCCACTAGGAACTCAAGGGAAAAATAATAATAAACGAATCACATGCAGCCAGGCATAGTTTTAATAGATTGCAGAAAAGGTTAACTCAGAAATATAACAGTTACCGTAAATATATTCAATTTAGTTGATGTTAAAAGGCTAACAAAATCAAACAACTCAAATATTTAGACTAATCAACATACTCATTTTATTAGCAGATTCTGATAACATATTAGTATTACTGATGATTAGATTTGAATCATTGTCAATAGATGTTACCAATGCTTCAATTGGACGACTATTTGGATCAAGAAGAAGACAATACAATAATGGGACTAAGCCAAAAACTTCAGTAGTATTAACAGTTTCTAATAATTTTGTCGGATCTCGTAGTAATTGTCCATTAATATCTAATACAATCGATGAATTACCAGTTGTTTCATATGTTGTTTTTCGATTGACAGAAATATTATCGTGAGAAGATCCTGTGCTTGTACTATAATCAAAGGAACAAAATAAAACACTTAAACAATAGAAAGAATATAATGATACATATAATGGACTACAGATGAGATACAGGAAGAAGTCTAGTAGTGAAATAGTAGCGAAAATTGTTTATGAATACTTACAATTTAGCATTGTACAACTACTATTGACAAATGGGCTTCAATGTGAATATCTCAACTTGGCAGCTAGCTGTGGAATCGTATATGAGATTTATGCATCAAGTTAGATGTACCTAACAACCTACCAACTTACAAGTTTGCAGAACGGGTAGGGCAGTGAACATGGGATGATTTCCATCAGATGAACGTAGAGAAGACACTGGTGATGAAGATAACCAACCACCACCACCACCACCAACAACAACAACAGCAAGCACCAATCACCATCAACAGGAGAAATCCAAGCGAAGTTGTCTCTTTCACCTACCTACTCATCTGCCTAGGTAGCATCCTTTCAAATATAGGCAGCACAGGCACAGATGACGATGTCAAAGCCAGGATCGGAAACACAGCAACACACGCCTTCATTAGTCTGAAATAATCAGTGTGCAGATCTAGTGCACTGCACTGTACTCAGGATGAAGAAGATCCGGATTTTCAACACGTAGTCAGTCAAGTAAGTCAGTGCTTCTATGTGATGGGTGAGAGACTTGGCGCCTTACGAAAACCATTTCCAACAAACTACAGACATACATAATATTAAAAGCTGTCGTCTACACTCACTCGATACTTAAGATCAGATCGGATGACAAGAAAGAATAAGCATGGGGGAACTCCAACAGGCTGGCATCACACCAACCAACGAAGCAAGAAGCCATCGCCCAACAAATATGCAGAAGAACAAAGTGTAAATGGAGTGGATTGGACATAAACTGAGAAGACGGTTTAGGGAGATCACGCGTCAGGCCAGTCCAGTCCAGGCCAGGTCAGGCCGTTGAGTCGAACCCAAAGGGGGAAACAACGAGTTGGGTGTCTGAAGATAGGGTGACATGGAGGAGATGGTGTGAGGAAGAAATGAAAGCTTGCAGTGGATCGTGGAGTGAGGTTACAAAGACTGGAGATAAGAGAGTGAAAGGAGGACGTGTTACTGAAGTTGTGTGTTCTACTAGGAACCCAAAAGACAAATAATAATAGTTAAAAAAGTCAGAAGTATATCTTGATTTTTAGAATCGTCTAAATAATACGGTTGAAAGTATGAGATTTTTGGCGACGGATTTATACTTCTGCTAGAATGGTAACTGTATTCAAACAATATCAGAGTTGAGGAGAAATCGAAGAGACTGTATGAGCAGTAGATTTTGCAAGGAAGAAATAAATCGAAAATCTTTTTCATTTATGGTTCAATCAATACATCCGACTGTTTTTTTTCTTTTTAATTGTTGATGAGGAATGGAAGCAGCTCCCTATGCATCGCAAGTATCCACTTCCAGATGATAAATCCAATCGTTTAGTCGTCTGTGAAAAAAACCGACGGTGTTAGGCTCTGTTACTATAAACATATGTATCATCAAATCGACTGATGTATAAGATTCCATTTCTTTAAGACTACAGATGAGATAGAAGAAGAAGTCTAGTAGTGAACCAATAGGAAATTGTTCATGAATACTTACGATTTAGCATGACTACACTGGGTCGAGTTGTACAACTATTATTGACGAATGGGTTCTAATGTAGATATCTCAACATGAAATCATGTTTAAGACTTATTCGTCAGTTGGATGTACCTTTCCCCCCACCCGCGCCCTCGACCAAATGAGACTTTAGCGCAGTACCTATTGCTTTAAACACCAAAGAATTATCCACTTTCCTGCAAACATATCCATCTGACGAGTTCCAATATTAGCCAGTAAGTAAAGTCAAAGAATAGTTCATGAAGTATTTCTGAAGGTGAACATGAATTTAGATATAGTTATCAAAATGATAGCTGTATAGCTTACTCAATAATGCTCCATTTTAGTAAACAATAAAACCGGTTTTTAGTATAGATGATGATCGTCTTCAATGCTCGGATAAACTGTACATCTTTCCACGATTTCAACACTACTGATGATGAACACCAAGATATCATACTAATCTATAAAGTTTAGAGCCTTTAGTCTGAACTATCTAGGGGAGATTAGTTGATAAAGTCTACAGATTCAAGCACATCCTTTGTGCTTGCTGAGTTGTTGGTTCATGTTTCTTCTTCCAGATTTTGATAGTCATCGCAAAACTTACAATATTTCAACGCACCATTTCCATTTCTTTAAGACTACAGATGAGATAGAGGAAGAAGTCTAGTAGTGAACCAATAGGAAATTGTTCATGAATACTTACGATTTAGCATGACTACACTGGGTCGAGTTGTACAACTATTATTGACGAATGGGCTCTAATGTAGATATCTCACCATGAAATCGTGTTTAAGACTTATTCGTCAGTTGGATGTACCTTTCCCCCCTCCTGAGCCCTCGACCAAATGAGACTTTAGCCCAGTACCCATTGCTTTAAACACCAAAGAATTATCCACTTCCCTGCAAACATATCCATCTGACGAGTTCCAATATTAGCCACTAAGTAAAGTCAAAGAATAGTTCATGAAGTATTTCTGAAGGTGAACATGAATTTAGATATAGTTATCAAAATGATAGCTGTATAGCTTACTCAATAATGCTCCATTTTAGTAAACAATAAAACCGGTTTTTAGTATAGATGATGATCGTCTTCAATGCTCGGATAAACTGTACATCTTTCCACGATTTCAACACTACTGATGATGAACACCAAGATATCATACTAATCTATAAAGTTTAGAGCCTTTAGTCTGAACTATCTAGGGGAGATTAGTTGATAAAGTCTACAGATTCAAGCACATCCTTTGTGCTTGCTGAGTTGTTGGTTCATGTTTCTTCTTCCAGATTTTGATAGTCATCGCAAAACTTACATTATTTCAACGCACCATTGCCCGCCCCCCCCCTTGAACAACAAGTTAGGCGCAAATACACACACACAACTGGTCATTACATCCTGTTTAATGTTGCAACTTGGAATAAAATTCAAGAATTGAATAACTTACCATCTTTCAGCTGTACTATTCATTGGATTATCTACATGATGATGATGATGATTTTGCTGTTGAATAATACTAACTCCTTCAGAAACTTTATTCACTAAAAAGTTATTAGATGATAAACAACAATCTGATTGAGAACTCCATACAGAAGTTTGTTGTTTACTTGAATGATATCTACCAGTCACCTTCATTAATTGATCACATTTCATTTGTTCTGATGTTGACATGATTATATTGAGAAGACGTGTAATACTCGTTAGAAAAGCAATACTACTCAATACAAATTGTTGACAGTGTTCTACAGATGGATTTGTAGTTGAAGAGTTTTGACGTCCAGGACTATTATTATTATTATTATTATTATTTGATGATAATAACCAGCTAGCTTGTTTTGGATTGGACAGTCGTGTAGATATTAAATCGACTAGGCCACTACTCACAACATAACTGAGAAAGTCCTATATGTTCAGAAGACGAATAACAAACAAATATCAAGGACATAGATTCTAATAATAAGTGAAACAAGTAATAATTCAACGAGATACTTAGACTGGATATGAGTAATACGACTGTTCTCTCCCCCTACATCTAATACTTCACTCACCCGCAAAAATCAGAAGACAAAAGACCAGCCCCCTTTAACTGCCTTGGCAAAAACAACATAGTATTTATATATAACTTCCAGTCAGAAAATCAAGCCATTAGATTACCAATCAGATGCAAGGACAAAATTGTTCAATAAAATTAATTTGACCAATCAAAATCTGAAATGAAAATATTTCTACCTTAACGGTGAATGACCTTGGATAGTATTATGTTCTCTCAGCTGAATAGGATGGTTTAATCGTGAAATTTTCATCAACATTATTCTAGACACATGAATATCATCACCATAAACTTCAGAGAGAAATGAGTTATGGGATGGTTATATCCACAAATGGATTACTAGCCTGTATGCGATTGGTTATCTTACAGGCGTGAACTTCCATCTCATGTTGTATCTAATTAGTTGATAGATTGAGTCAATATGTCTGCTGATTCTTTGTATTTCTTCAGTCCAGCATCTCTAGATTTCTACAGTTGCCTGTATCCATTGATATGAGTGAAGATATGCCATAACGTTTCACTGCTAGTTGGTGTTCATGTAGAGACGCTTACGAAGAGGACAACCACGCAGTACACTGTACCGTTTATTGTTCATTATTGTATCTTTTGTGTACTTGTGAGATATACAACGATTCCAATGGGCTTTAATAATCTAGTCGTGATCTAGAAAACGTTCTTCATCATATAAGGTAAGGTAATCCATTTGTTGGTTTCCTTGTAAACTTCAGAAAGAAGCATCTTTCTAACGTTTATGCTGATGATGTTGTGTCTAGAATGACAATGAAAGCTTCATGATTAAACAATTCAGCTCGGAGAACACAACACTATCAAAATTATCCTCCTGAGTCAAACATATTCTCCATCATCTACAAATGAAAAACTACCTGTCTTCAAAACTACTTCAAGGAAAGTGATACAATACAACTAATAATCAACAATACAACCGTGGTGTATACTACTGATCAAATTGTATTTAAGTAGTGTCCGGTAAACAATCACAAGAACAGACCATCGATCAATGAATGTTCTTAACAGATAAACAAGACGGATTGAAAGAACTCAAAGGAAAATATAGTTAATGTGACAATAATGTACGTATAAATCTGCGTCAATGACATCGGTTCTCAGCCGTATGACCATTTAGAGTCTCCAACCACTGATCTCTCTCATCCTGCGGATACCAACCACCTAGTCTGCATCGTCCTACATAGCTCATGTTTTGGTCTAGCCGCCGTGAGCCTTTTCCCAGACTGAACCTACTTCAGACAATACTGTACGACGAGGGACACGGTTGCTAGGCATATGCACCACATGTCCCAGGTATCTCAGTCTATCAAGGTTCATAACTGCATCAAATGATTGACCTCTCCTCTCTGAAACTCTATGCCTGACTTCTGTGATACTCATGTGGTGACACCACGAAATCCATGGTATATGCTACGAAGGTAACGGTGGTCAAACACATGAAGCCATCTACCTTTGATAGCCATGTTTTATAGCCACACAGTAGAACAAAATGGGCTGTAGCACAGTTTTATCTATTTTTTTTCATTGATACTTGCGATATCCCACTTCAAAACTCCATTGAATTCACCAACCGACCTTTGTTGTCATATGGTTCGCCTATGCGAATGCCTCCATATTACATGAGTATGTTGTAGTTTGCTTGATAGTGGTGGCTAACAGTGGAATCCAGGACACATCCCAGTGACCTAATAGATAACGATTTGATGTTTGAAGTGGACTCTGGGGTTCGAGTTTCAGTGGGGTGGTACAGGTACATTTAACTGACTAGTGTGTAATAAAATGAAACGCGTTTCCAGCACTCCTCTGTTAGCAATCACTAAGGAAATTACGGAATGGGGGATAAATTTGTTGAAATATTACATGCTGAGAATGCAAAACTGTACGAAACATATTCTTTGGAATAAAGTGGTTATTAGCATCATTATTATTATTATCATGTTGAAGTTGATAGGGATTAATTTTAAGATAGTATTAATCACAGACTGATATGAGTTGGAGAACCATTGGAAACTTGGAAGCAGTGGACAGCTGTCTCGTCCCAGAGTAGGACTCCTCAACAGTATGCACTGACGACCGGGCTGGGCGTCGAACTCAGGAACATTCAACTCTGACCCAATCACTGAACGCTCAACACTTTCGCTGTGAAAGATGAAGGTTCTGAGTTCTTTTCCAAGCCAGGATGTGGGTGCATACTCCTGAAAAACCAAGTACTAGGATGAAAAAGCTGTCTAGAGTGCTCCCAAATCGTTAATATTTCTCCAAATAACATGCCATTCCATGATGAATTATTATTATTATTATTTGCCCTTTAGATTTCTAGTGGAACATACGGCTTCAGTAACACGTCCCCCTTCCACTCTCTTATCTCCAGTCTTTATAACCTCACTCCACGATCCACTGCAAGCTTTCATTTCTTCCTCACACCATCTCCTCCATGTCACCCTATCTTCAGACACCCAACTCGTTGTTTCCCCCTTTGGGTTCCACTCAACTGCCTGACCTGGACTGGCCTGACGCGTGATCTCCCCAAACCGTCTTCTCAGTTTATGTCCAATCCAATCCAATCTATTTACACCTTCTTCTGTATATTTATTGGACGATCTGATCTTAAGTATCGAGTGAGTGTAGGCGACAGCTGTTAATATTATGTATGTCTGTAGGTTGTTGGAAATGCTTTTTGTAAGACGCCAAGTCTCTCAGCCATCACACTGAGGCATTGACTTAGTGTTGAAAATCCATATCTTGTTCCATATACTGAGTGCAGTGCAATAGATCTTCACACTAATTATTTCAGATTTATGCAGGAAGGCCTGTCTTGTTGTCTTTCTAATCCTGGGATTGACATCCTCATGTATGCCACCACCTGTAGTTAAAACGACGCTGTTTATTAGGTGTAGGTGAATACTACACCAAAATTATTATTATTATTGTTATTATTATTATTATCGTTGTTTTATACTCAACAATCCATCTGATTGGTTCAGTAATAAACAAAGGGATAAATGATAACTAAACTGGTGAATAAAAAAACAACCGATAAATAGGAAAAAACACAGTGAAAATGATAATTAATCAATTATTTAATGAAAACATACTTGAACGCGTTGATAATCAATTCTTATATGTTTATCATATTCATCTGAAGTAAAATTCAATTGACAAAATCCATTCAATAGACTAGTTAAACAATTCAATAAGTCAAGTGTACACGAATTTCCAGAATAACAATGAAAATATAATGGATCATTAGTTAATTGATCTGTTATTGTTGTTGGTGTATTCACCTCTTTTATTACTGATGAAGAATTGAAACAGTTAAAATAACGATTGTTTGAAATATAAACCTGAAAAATAAAAGAAAATATAATACATTTTTCATTGTCATTTTAACTATTTGAGATTCAGGATGGCGTGGTTTAAGATGAAGGTAATGTGTGTGTGTGTGTGTGTGTGTGAGAGAGAGAGGATATATTTGTGTCACTGATATGGGTTCACAGCGAGATCACCTACAGTCACTCTCCAATCACTGGTTTCTTTCCCGACTGATAGCTGCTACCTTGACTTGGTGGTGGGGCTTGCATATCACAATGACCCAACGAGTTCTGCTGGTAGCCCACTTGTTCCCTCGAAGTCCTAACATACCAGACAGGTCTGTTGGATAGTGGTAGGACGAAAAGCAGTTACCGTTATGGTGTACATTACTACACTATGATGGGGGTCTGAGGGCGAAGTCGTACTGCTGCTAGCTGGATGGGGTGTGACAGCAGTAAGGTGTTTCCCTTGGGTGACCTGCTAATGCTGCCTTCTAAGCGGAAGGGGGGGTTAGAAAAGCTCGACCCTAAAAATAACACTCCATCATGCCCCACAGTCTGCCGGGTCGGCGGTATTGGTTCATTTGCCGCTTCCTTTGAACTATCCGACCCCCAAAATACAAAAGTTCAAAACATTCATACTCAAAAGGCTTCATATGACAGGCCTCAAGCAGATATCCGATGGACTCTGTGGTCACACAAATCTCCTTCAGGTACTTTAAGAAGAAATAGCCTTCTTGGGTGTGGGCAGCCGAGAAGTATCAATCAACCTCACAGCAACTCTGTCAGCACTGGTTTCTTTTGTCCCATGGACCCCAACCGGTTAGTCTGCATCTTCTCTACATGGTTCAAACCAACAGTCAAACACTTCATACATTGATGACATGTCACCTGTTTCTATAATGTATTCACCTACAGACTATGGCATCTATGTGCCACCCAGTATTTATCAAATTATTTCAATGTACTTGTTTTTCTAACCATTTATGCTCCAAATCACCCACCACTCACAACTTCATAGTTCGATTACTCCACCCAATGTATCACACACACACACACACACACACACACACACACACACACACACACACACACACACACACACACACACCATGTTTAAATCTTGTTGCCTTCTATACTTTTCTTAGCCAAAACTTACTTCAGATAACATTAAATGAAACAGTAATCATAAAAGTGAAGAATTTAACAATGATAGTAATGATTAGTCAAATAGAAAAAGATATCTTACCGAAAATTTGATGACAAGACAATCAACAAGTATTGAAACATCATTTGACAATAGCATACGAATGTATGCATCTTCATTTGAATAGCATAAAGTTTCTAGTAGACGACAGGCAAGTTTATAAGTTCTAAGCATTGAATGAAGAAAGATGAAGAGGAAAAGTATACGTTTTATGCATTAGCTCATACAACAAATATTTATTCCTATTACTCTTACTACTAACAAATATAACAGTAGTAGTAGCCGTAGAAGCAATTTTAACGGCACCCAATATAACTTGAATGCATAATAATGGTAGTAGTATTAGTATTAATGATAATAATAATAACAATAATAATACGTGGTATAGATGTACTTATACAAAGTCTTGAGTGAGTGACATTTAACAGACAATGACTTGTATTTGAAACAATTAGTCCCCTTAATAAATTTCGATAAGGCTATTAAAAGACGAAGATTATCTGAAAAATGTGATGTGTATTTGCGCAATACATTTCGAACAATCTGCTCAATCACATATTTACTTGTCAAGTCAATTTATATATGAAAATTAAAGGTGAAATATAGTGAATATGAAAAGGTTGTGACACTAGTCTTGGTAATATAATCAGATTGCCAAGGATTACCAAGGTAAATGAAGTGAAACAACAAATTGGTTTTTGTACACACAGTGGGGGATTAAGTTTTGCGAATGGCTAACGCTTCGGCAAACTTCAGTTTGCACCCCTAATTATTCCTGTATAATATCTTAAACTCTGTTTTTGTATTAACCTTGTGGTTCATTTCAATGAAGATATTTTGCTATAGATGACGATGGATGTCTGTAACCTGCACTTATCAAAGTTTTGCGTGTTAAACTGTTTTTCTAGCCATTTGAGGATGTGTTAACCCACCCTAGTCTGTATTGAACGATTACTCCTCCCTATGTATGTGTGCTCACACATACATGTAAATTGGTAAACACAGTAGGATGTGATGTAATCATTTGTGTGAGGTTGAGGTTTATGGTGAAGCAGGTGTTTTGCTGCATAGTATGTTTTACTGATAACAGATTTTAATCTCTGCTTCAATATCATACTACTTGTTTCCCCTCTGTATGGTACTTTAAAAAATATGCTTTTCTTTGGGACCAAGGAAACTATAGGCTTTGGGTTCAGGTGTTTTTTTACAATGGTTGACAAACTGTAGTGGATAACCGTTTTCCACTAGAGTGTCATTCATCGTATCATATGTACAAATACGTTGGATTCTATTGAAAAAGCATCTTACCACGCCTCTCTTATATTCCATCGGATAAAAACTATGGAAATTCGAATATTGTCCTGTCCAAGTAGGTGTTAGCCATTTGTAAACTTAATCCCCCACTGTGTGTACAAAAACCAATTTGTTATTTCACTTCATTTACCTTGGTAATCCTTGGCAATCTGATTATATTACCAAGACTAGTGTCACAACCTTTTCATATTCACTATATTTCACCTTTAATTTTCATATATAAATTGACTTGACAAGTAAATATGTGATTGATCAGATTGTTCGAAATGTATTGCACAAATACACTACACACATTTTTCAGATAATCTTCGTCTTCTAATAACCTTATCGAAAATGACTTGTATTACTAGCAGATCATCTCAGCCAATATTGTTAATGGACATTATATTGTTAAAACAATGTTGGACATGATGATGCTACTGAGCTAATTGTAGATAAGAGAGATTAAACGACTAAACTTGGTGCTTAAGATCATGACTTGGCAACAGCTGACAACCAATACAATCAATTAGTGAAAATCTCAAGTCTCAAGATAAACTGGAACAAAAAGATTAACTGTCTGTGTACATATTATCCAATAAAAGTTGAAATTCAAGGGAATTCAGAGATGATTACACCTGTTACTTATGCCAAGCTTAACACAGAACCTACTTATGACCTTAATAGAGATAACATCATATCATGGAAGAACCTAATCCATTTTCTCCAATGATGTAGTCAAACACATTGCTACTTAGTAGACCACAGACCTATCGTTTACAGTTGGATCAATTACACTAGTCAGTTTTAAATCCATGTCTGTCAACTGAAAAATAATTGAAGTCTAAAGAACACTTTTACTATTATAACCATTTGTCTTTTAGGTTCCTAGTAGAACATACAACTTCAGTAACACGTCCCCCTTTCACTCTCCAATCTCCAGTCTTTATAACCTCACTCCACGATTCACTGCAAGCTTTCATTTCTTCCTCACACCATCTCCTCCATGTCACCCTATCTTCGGACACCCAACTCGTTGTTTCCTCCTTTGGGTTCCACTCAACGGCCTGACCTGACCTGGCCTGGACTGGCCTGACGCGTGATCTCCCCAAACCGTCTTCTCAGTTTATATCCAATCCAATCCAATCCACTCCATTTACACTTTGTTCTTCTGCATATTTGTTGGGCGATGGCTTCTTGCTTCGTTGGTTGGTTTGATGCCAGCCTGTTGGAGTTCCTCCATGCTTATTCCTTCTTGCCATCCGATCTGATCTTAAGTATCGAGTTAGAGTAGGCAGCAGCTGTTGATGTGATATATATCTGTAGTTTGTTGGAAATGGTTTTCGTAAGGCGCAAAGTCTCCCAACCGCCACATAGAAGCACTGACTTGACTGAACTAGTGTTGAAAATGCGGTTGTTGTTATGTATGCTGAGTGCAGTGCAGTACAGCAGATCTCCACACTGATTTCAGGTTAAAGAAGACCTATCTTACTGTCATTTTGATCCTGGCCTTGACATCCGGATCTGTGCCGCCACCTGCAGTTGAGAGGATCTTGTCTAGGTAGGTAGGTGAAAGAGACAATTTCGTTTAGATTTCTCCCGTTGATAGTCATTGGTGCTTGCTGTTATTGTTGGTTGGGTATCTTCATCACCAGTGTCTTCTCTACGTTCACTTGAAGGAGGTACCGTTTTCCTTCGCTGCCTAGCATCTTATGTCAACTTGTTAGTTTCTGCGACATTAGACATAAATTATGATGGGTGAAATCCACATCTTCTAAGGTCTTTTCATTGGTCAAACAGCGTATGCCCATCTCACTCCTCACAGTTTATTGCATGATCTAGTCGACCAAAATCAGGAAGATCATCGGTGATAGTGCGAAACCTTCTCTTACCTGTCAACCTGTCTTCATTTGGAAGGCGTCACTGTGCTATCGATTGTGAATCACTTGGTTTACGGCATCTTCATATAGTTAGTTGTTGAATGCATTTATATTACATGTTCATAACGCAATAACCAAATTTTCTTGCTTATTCACTAGGCAATGAAGTCCGTTATGTTTTAGGAAGATAAGTGACATAAAGAATGAGACTTTTATTCGTAACCGACTCGTCAAACGTCGAACATCTGGACGGAAAACCTACAGATCCACATGAACTTTGATAGTCCACTTCAGTAAAGTAGCCTTTAGAAATAACCCAAAGCAAATTATCACGTTGACTAACCGATACAGTTGAATATCAGCAGACAGGTAGACAAAATCAACGTAAAATCTCGCACTCAATTACATCATCTCAAGCTACTACAATTCACAGTACCATACAAAGAATAGGCGGGTAGAAAAGTTGTGAGAGAGAATAAAACAATCTGAAGATAATGCGAATATTCAAGCTTTAGATGTCAAGAAGTGACTATATGTATGCCACCGTGATCGATTTCCAGTCATGTCACCAAGAGTCCTCAACCACTGATTCCTTTATTCTTGGAGACCTTAACCAGACAGTCTAAATCTCTTACCATGGCTGAGAGCAACAGTCAGCGACTTTATCAACTGCTGTCACCTTGACGACTGGTCACCCCGAACTCCTTTCTAACCTAATCCAAATACTGCCATCGTTGAACATCGAGGTAGGCGGTAGGTCGGTATATATAACACGTATCCAAGTCACCTCAGTCGCTAAAGATTCACAACCTCACCAAGTATATTGCCTTTCTCCAGCCAAACTCATCTCAATATTCCTCATATAGGGATTCCACTAAACATGAGCGATGTTAAGAAGGCACCTGTGATCAAAACCCTGTGATTATTTAGTCTTCCACTTCCAACGTCTATGTCTGACAGCTAGATAAAAGGTCGAAAACGAACTACAGTGCAGTATAGTCATCTTTTGACTGACAGATGAATATCGAGCTAGTCGACGCCTCAAGCTGGAAAATGTTAAAAAATCGATCGAAACTCATTGATGATTCATAATCATATAGTGGAAATAGTGGACATATTACATGCAAAAAGAATGGACATAAGTCATAGACTTATCCAACCGAAAAAATGCTTGACGATATGGACAAAAATACCTTTTCAATATACTTCCGAAATCATCATACATTCGATATAACCTTGTAAGTGTTCCAAAGCAATCTAACCAGTCCTCCTACACGTGTATCGTGAAGGTAGTTTGAAAAAGCTAACTCAAAATAAATAAATTATAGATTTAAACAACTTTGAGAAAAGCCGCTTGTTAATTCCGTTCGTAAGCTCTTTAATTTCCATTCCGAGTTTATACCTTTATGCCTTTTTTATGCATAATGATTTATACTACTTACTAATAATAAGTAGTGTAATTCATATTCACAAATTATCCACAGGTGTGGTTGTTTATTTCAGTTATACACATAATTTGTTCGTCAATTAACGTCATTACCCAGTTTGTGATTGTTTTGCCTCCGTTCAGTTGTTCTCTGATACCTTTTTTCTTTTTACCTTGAACATTGGTTTATCTCGTTTCTTCCACCTGATCCTGGAATTTCAAACGCTCTTCCATTGTTTCTCTTTAATTCGCTTTATATATTGTTGACGCAATTTATATAAGGGCGGTTTTGGCAAAGATAAATCCACAGATACGTGACGATTCAAGGTTTGAAAAGTATAAGTCATTATTGTGGAGTAATACAATATGGGTAGGTGGTTTATTTGGTAAAGAATCAAGTTTCTGGATAAGAAATTCATACTACCTGTTTACTAACACAGTGCAGATTCGGAAAGGCATTTCACACGTTAAACTCGGTTCGAAAACACTAAGAAGTTATGACCTTGAGATCAATCAATCGATATCAAACACTAAAAAAAATACAACGAAAAAAAATGTAATTTTCAAGGGAAACCTACTTCTCTGGAACTAACTGTGTTGACAATGGCTTCTGCTCTCTTATCAGCCCAATTAAATTTACTAAGATGGAGAGTAAACCGCTGACAGTACAAATCTGTCGATCTGATGAAATGACCGATAGTGATGATTGTCCACTTTGTTCCTTTTTCAAACATAAAATTCAAGTTAGAATAAGTAGGAACAAAAGACAAAGATACGAAAAAGTAGACTGACTATATATTGGAAAAAAAACAAGATTTTCCCACTAATTTTCGAGAAATTTAAGAATCATGCATGCAATCTAGTTTTCAGGTTGGTATCCATCATGAACTCATATCAGTTGAAGAAACACTGGATACCTGAGAATAATAGACAACCATCCCGTCGAAGCATGAGAGATACAAACAATGTTCATCCATGGCCCCGACAGGAGTCGAACCCAAAAATCTTCGGGTCCTGTGGCTTGCTTCGAGATATGATTCCCGAAGTTCCAATGGGAAGTCGTGACCAAGTCGAATATCAGGAGAGTTACTAAACGAAGACATCATTCGATGGAGGATGAAACAGCCGTCCAATGTTTCTGCAACTGATGTCAGGGAGATTAAAATGTGCAATTCGTGGTAGGAAAGTTCATGAGGAACATGTGGGTTAAGATGCGTAAAGTTTTATTATTATTATCTGTCCCTTGGGTTCTTAGTGGAACATAGGGCTTCAGTAGCAAGTCGTCGTTTCACTCTCCTCTTTAAAGTCCTTTTAACCTGGCTTCACCACACTGCCCATAAGCTTTCATTTCTTCCTCATACCATCTCTCCTCCATCTCACCGTTGGACGCTCAACTCGTCGGTTCCCATTTCACTTCCACTCAAAGAACTCACCTGGCACGTGATGCCCCCAAATCGTCTTCTCAGTCTATGTCTAATCCATCTCCATCTCCTCCTTCTTCCAGTGGATATTTGTTAAGCAATAAGTTCTTGCTTCGTTGCCAGGCCAGATTGCCTTCTTGCTTATTCGTTCTCACCTTCTCATCCGAGCTTCAGTGTCGAGTGAGCGTAGGCACCAGCTATTGATGAACGACTGTAGTTCGTTGGAAATGCTTTTCGTAACGTGCCAAGTCTCTCAACCATCATACTGGAGCACTGACTTGACTGACTCGGTGTTGAGTACAATGCAGTAAAGTAGATCTCCACAGATTTATCAAAGACTGTCTCATTGTCTTTCCGATCGTGACTTTCACATCTTCATCTGTGCCTGTGCCACCTGTAGTCGAAATGATGCTTCCTAGGTGGGTAGGTGAAAGAGACAACTTCGTCTAGATTTCTCCCGATCATGGTGATCCGTGCTTCTTCTTGTTGGTTAAGTATCTTCATCACCTCTGTCTTCTCTATGTTCACCTGAAAGAATAACCGTCTTCCTTCGCTGCCCTGCCTCTTCTGCAAACTTGTTAGTTTTTACCTGTACATCTTCGAGTTTCTGTGACAAGGCATTAAACATAAATCCTCATGGGCGAAATCCACATCTTCTATGGTCTTTACATCGGTGAAACAGAGTACGGCTCTCTTCTCATTCCTCACGGTTTGCTGCATGATCTAGTCCACCGCAATCAGGAAGATCATGGGTGATAGTAGACAGCCTTGTCTTACTTCTATCTTCACTTCAAAGGTGTCAGTGAGCTTTCCATTGTGAATCACTTGGCATGTTGCGTCGTCAGATAGCTGATCAATGAGATTGACAAAAGTTTGTAGCAGCAAACCGTAGCGTTGAAGCAGCTTCCAAATTACTTCTCGGTCGACGCATCGAACAAGAGCAAAATCGATGAAGTAGAGGTAGAGAGTTGACTAGCATTCTATGCTCTGTTCTATGATGATGCATAGCGTAACGTCACAATTTGATCCGCACATGACTTGTACTTCCTGAATCCAGTCTGTTTCGGTCGTAATTTTGAATCCAACTCAAAGTGGATGTACATATTTCTTTTGAATACATAAGTTCAGTTTTCTTGCGTTGATAGCTTTGTATGTGGCTAAGATGTGAAGTTGTGCACCTTTAGAGAGACTCCAAGAGACACGGTATATCACAAAAAACGCGTCATCCACCTTAATCTGATATCCGGTATCTACTAGATGTGTGAGGAGTGCAATGTTGATGCTCTTTGTTATTTCTTTCCTTAACCAATATGGCATATGTTCACGAGCGTCTATGTAACTAGCTCCACAGGAGTAGTTGAACTTATAAATGTACATTGAAGTGATCATCATAGGTAACCTATCATTGGTTCACTGTGTCAGTTATGGTTTTGGTTGAGAAGTTAACAAAACGTTTCACTTAAATGAATGTCCTTTCGACTGATCTATTTAATCGATGTGTTAAGATATCCACGGTAATATCACCTTTGATACTTAGTCTAAGATAATATAGGCTTCTTAGCAACATTATTTTTTTTATCTTCTCTTTAGGTTTCCACATGTGTTTATTGATGAAATTTAACGGATAACTATTTTATTGCAATGTTATCCTCCGTATATTCATTTTTTCTTCAACATAGTCATCAAAACAAATGTTTCTTATTCTATAACTAAGGCATTTGATCAAGTTTCTTTTTTATCAAACAGATGTGAAACTATGAAAGTGACCAATCCATATGTTCTTTCAAAAAATACTCCTTTCAATATACCCATCCATTTTCCTGATGAGCACGACATCTAGGAAAGTAATATTATTCCCTTGTTCTTCCTCACAGGTGAACTTTATTGAAGGTATTTTTAAGAGATCATCTTTATTGTAACCATACCGGAAATAATACTCTAGTGTATCCCTAAATGCTCTGTTTTCAAGATTAGACCTCACCTCGGATGCCCAATTCGCTGTTTCCCATCTGGGTGCGTGATGTCCCCAGTCGGCCTTCTCAGTGCATGCCCAATCCATCTCCACTTCCTTCTGCATATTTCTTAAGCGATAGATTCCTGCTTCGTTGGTTCGTTGCCAGACAGCCAGAGTTCCTTGTTACTCATTCTTTCTCGCCTGCTCATCTGAGCTTCGGTATCGATCCAGCGTAGGTGGCAGTTGTTGATGAATGTCTGTAGTTTGTTGGAAATGCTTTTCGTAACGCGCCAAGTCTCTCAACCATCACATAGAAGCACTGGCTTGATTGACATTAGATTTGAAAATCCGGATCTTGTTCTTTATGCTGAATGCAGATCTCCACACTGGTTTCAGGTGAATAAACGACCCCATCCTGGGCTTACATAAGTAGTTCTACCATACTCAGGTAAAATTGTAAGTGGATTGATGAAAGAAATCCTTCTGCAGTGTGGAGTTTCATTAGCTATGCGTTAGGAGAAAGGTTGCTTCAGAACTATACACATTCAATTCATTGCAGGTGGAAAACAAAACATGTAGCAACAGTGTAAGTTCGCCCTATATCCCATCTATTGTAAGAGACAACAGTATAGAATGTAGATGATTTTCAGCGAAAGAAATATCGGCATCATCTGAACTAAGTGAAAAACAGGTATACATTCGAGCTGGCTACAAACATAATGACCGATGATGCGTAAAGAAGTTGCTTATAGACACACTGATAAAGAAGTCTACATAACAAATGTAAGCACCAGGCCAGTATCATGAGCGGTAGGTCGCTATTTGAAACACACACACACACATATACCCAAAGTAGCAACTGGAACAACGGACACAACATTTAGAGTAAAAGTTTATCGAATGATCTCCACAGTTACTGGCTACCTTAGAATTGGAAGTAAATCTGAAATGAAGAGGTGTAACAGGTTCCAATAAATTGTCAGAGGAAAGATCTAGAGATATAAACTGGTCACTGGTCAACTAACTGACTGGTCTATTGGCTCATGGAATTCCCTTAGATATTATCATGTCTAGAAACTATGACATATAGACACTACTATGCACTGACTCCGCACAGTTGAGAAGTCTTGCTGTCAGCGTTTTCTACTAAGAGATGTTTTTGGTAAGCAGTGATATTCCCTTCCTACCATATACTTACTTTTAAAGAAGTATTGATCATGGACTGACATTGGTTAGAGAGAAGCACTTGAAACCTGACAGTACTGGATGGCTGTTTGGTCCTCACATGGGACTCCTCAAAAGTACCCACCAACGACCGGGTTTATCTAGTCACTGCGTTTATACTTTCCTACTTCTGTTAGTACAACATATATCAAAATATACCAAAAAAAGGTGAAAGCGATAATGAAGAGATTATGGAGAAAAAAAAACTTACTTTTACCTGTTTATTACAAATACATCGTAATAAAGCGTTTAAAGATTTTTCCATAGCCTGAACTCTTGTTATAACCCAAGGACCAGAATCAGGTTGATTCAAAAAACGTCGAGCATCTTTAATCAATTTAACAAGCCTAATAAAATGATAGAAAAAGTAAATCCAGAAGTATTAACGATTAATTTTAACATGGAGGATAAAAATGTTTGATATGACTGACACAGCCTAATTAATTTATCACATACTTGGATTACGTAACCTCGCTTGGTTAACTAGTTCACTAGTTACTAGCCGGTCCTAAGCCCGGGTAAAGAAGGAAGGTTGGGCATAGGGCTAGCAATCCTACACCGTAAAACAAATCTAACCGCTAAAGAAACTTCAAAGCACAAACGATATATAAAAAATGAAAACAAAATTATTCCTCGCTGGAATCGGAGAGGCGAAATAACGCCAGTTGGTGAAAGCCTTCGGGAAGCCAATTGGCCGATGTGTCTTCTCTCTTCTCGATGAAAGCAAAAGTAAACGTGAAGACATGGAATGTCCGCACGATGTTTGAACCCAGCTGGTAGGGCAGCCCAGATTGCAAACGAGATGAGAAGGTATAGCATTGAAGTGCTTGGAATTTGCGAAAGCAGATGGAATGGGAGTGGACTCTCCAGGCTGTCAACTGGAGAATCAATAATCTACTCCGGTCACTCAGACGACAACCACGAGAACACTGAGTTTTGGAGTGGCTATCATGATGTCCCCAACAGCATCGAAGGCTCTCATGCAGTGGGAACCAATCTCCTCATGCAGGATCATGACAGCAAGATTCAACTCAAAAGGAAGCAAAGTCACGACCATTCAATCCAGCGCTATGCACCTACAAATAATGCAGACCAAGAGAAGAGGGAGGAATTCTATAGACAATTGCAATCAACACTGGACAAAACCCCAGTTGGCGACATCAAAATTCTAACGGGTTGGGTGACATGAATACCAAACTGGGAGGGGAAAGCATAGGAAGAGAACTGACCATGGGTAGAGAAGCGCTGGGTGAGGTGATGAATGAGAATGAAGAATTGTTTGCAGAATTCTGTGTACTCAGCGATTTGGTGATTGCAGTCAGGCAGTTTGTTCAAGCACAAGGATATACACAAAGCGACATGGATTCGAATTTTTATCTCAATGTGAAGAAAGTGGAGAGGCAGTCTACTTAACACAAGGTGAAGAAGAGGAGCAGATGTAGGTTCACACCACTCACTATCTAGTGCAAGGAACCTTCCAAATCAAGTTAAAAGCCTTCAAGGAAGCTGGTGATAGACCTCAATTCAAGTACAACACTCGGAAACTGAAGGATGAAACTACAAAGGAAATCTTCACGGCAGCCATCAAGACAAAATGGGAGATATCGAGGAACATTCCTGAAGAAACCTGTGTGGAAGAACACTGGAAGTCTTTGAAAGCTATGTGGAAAGAAACATGCACAACAGTATTAGGAAGGAAGAAGAAAGAAGACAAGGAATGGATCTCGACGGATACCTGGAAGCTGATAGAGAGGAGGAAGGTGAAGCAGAAGATAAACCAGTGCAAGGATGTACAACGACAAAAGGAACTGAGTACAATGTATAAAACACTGGACAAAGAAGTGAAGAAGAGTGCACGCAAAGACAAAAGACACTTCTACGAAACACTGGCAAGTGAAGCAGAACAGGCTGCAGGTAAGAGAGACCTGACGACATTGTATCAAATAACCAGGTTGCTATCTGGGAGGAGATCAACGCAGACGAAAGCAATAAAAGATGATGACGGAAATTTAATTAAGAAAGAAGAGAAACAAAGGAAACAATGGGCCGACCACTTCAAGAAGCTCTTGAATCGACCACCAACTGCAGCCCAGCCACAGAACTACAAGTGAACATAAATCCTCCAACAAAAATGGAAGTCCTGAACGCCATAAAGCTACTGAAATGTGGAAAGGCAGCAGGACCAGATGTGATCCCGCTAGAAGAACTGAAAAAAGACACAGAGAAAACAACGGATATGCTCACACCACACCACTATTGCAGAAGGTTTGCAAGGAAGAGAAGGTACCTGGCGATCGGAAGAAGGGTTACCTTGTCAAACTCCCGAAGAAGGGAGACCTCAGTGTTTGCAAGAACTGGCGAGGAATCACTCTCCTGTCCACCCAGAGCAAGTAAAATATTAAGCCGCATCATCCTAGACAGGCTTAAAGATGCACTGGATTCAAAACTACGACCAGAACAGGCAGGCTTCAGGAAGTACAAATCATGTGCAGACCAAATTGCAACGATTCGCATCATCATAGAACAGAGTATAGAGTGGCAGTCAACTCTATACCTCAACTTCATCGACTTTGAGCAGGGCTTTGACAGCGTCGACCGAGAGGTAATCTGGAAACTGCTTCATTACTACGGAGTACCGCAAACCTTTATCCGCCTCATTCAACAACTATATGAAGACGCCACATGCCAAGTAATTCACAATGGGAAGCTCAGCTCAGTGATGCCTTTTAAGTGAAGACAGGAGTGAAACAAGGTTGCCTACTATCCCCCATGATATTCCTTATTGTGGTGGACTGGATCATGCAGCAAACAGTGGGAAGCGGTGAGAAGAGGGGGATACGCTGGACTGCGGAAAACAACCTCGAAGATCTGGATTTCGCCAGGGATGACTTGTGCCTGATGTCACACAAACTTGAAGATCTAACAAGTTGGCAGAAGAGGCAGCGAAGACGGGACTTCAGGTGAATATAGAGAAGATAGAAGTGATGAAGATACCGCACCACCAACAACAACAACAAACTCCAGTCACCATCAACGGGAGGAACTTAAAGGAAGTAACCTCCTTCACCTATCTAGGAAGCACTGTTTCAACTACAGGCAACACAGGCACAGACGAGGATGTCAAAGTCAGAATCAGAAAAGCAAGACAGACCCTCATTAGCCTGAAATCAGTGTGGAGATCTTCTGCACTCAGCATGTGGAACAAGATACGGATTTTCAACACCAACCCAGTCAAGTCAGTGCTTCTGTATGGTTCAGAGACTTGGCGATTTAAGAAAGGGATTTCCAATAAACTACAAACATCCATCAACTACTGCCGCCTACTCTAGCTCTCTACTGAAGATCAGATGGATTGCCAGAAAGAATAAGCAACAAGGAGCTCTGGGAACGAACCAACCAAGAACCTATCACCCAACAAATATGCACTGGAAGGAAGTGGAGATGGATTGGGCATACACTGAGAAGGCCGACTGGGGACATCACACGTCAGACCCTCGAGTGGAATCCCCATGGGAAGCGACGAGTTGGACGTCCTAGCTGAGGGTGACATGGAGGAGATCGTGCGAGGAGGAAATGAGAGCTTGTGGGCTGTCGTCGAGCCAGGTTGAAAAGATTTCAGAGAACAGAGTTCACTGGAGGCGTGCTACTGAAGCCCTATGTTCCATTAGGAACCCAAGGGACTAATATTAATATAATAATATATTGGATTACGTACTCCTTTACTTCAACACAACAGAGGCGATGGTAATTAACGTTTACAAACAAATCTACTTTCCTTAGCCAACTAGATGTGTGTTTATCAGTTCACCTGATCCTATAGACTAAGGTATATCGGCCGTACTCAGCATTCACTTTCCAAGTGCCAACAGGTCCTAAGAAACAAATCTTCTCAAAGCTGAAATTCAACAGTAACTTCACCAGTGAAATTATCATACAACATATAAAAAGAGTCTTGTATTAAGCATTCCCAACTGCTAAATGAAGTCCCATCTTCTACAACCATACAATTCTAGATACAAGAAATAAAGACAAATTGCCCGATTCTATCACTTCCATGTGCATTTATCATTTCAACTGCTTCTGTGGAGCTAGTTACATTGACCGTACAATGAGGCAGTTCCATCATCGAATTTCTGAGCACCACTCATTATTGGTTGAGCAAGGGACAAATTAGAACAATAAAGAGCTCCATACTGACACATCTAGTTGACATGGGAGAACAAGTGGAAACTAGTAAACCCTTTCGAAGTGATTTATCATATTCCAATTAATTTATCACATACTTGGATTATGCACTCGTTTACTTCAACACAATAGAGGCGATGGTAATTCACCTTTAGAAACAAATCTAATATTTGTATTCAGAAGAAATTTGTCCAACCACTTTCATTACCATGATGTAACTTCTAGGATTTACTTTGTACATCTATTCCCCTTCTTGTTTCTATCAATATTCATTTGTTTTCTTATTATTACGTGATTATTGATTGTTTATGACTGAACACTCATCAGAAATCACTCCATTTCCAATTTTAATACCTCTATTGATTATTATGATTGTTTTTATATGATACCGTCGTTGATTGAACCGAATTGATCCGTCTCTATTGACATATGGGCTCTTGTGCGGATGCGTTGATATTGCAGGTACATTCACCTGATGAGTCCCAAATAGGACGAAATGTGCATGCTAGATTCTACTGCTAGGCACGATCTATCATTAACATAATTAGAACACTGGCAATATCGAGGCATCCGCACAGTAGCCCATATGCCAATAGAGACCGATTAATTCGGTTCAATCAACGACGGTATCATATAAAAACCCTTATACTAAAAACTATACCTGTCTCACAAGAAGTGGCTATCGTGGATCGGTGGTGTCGTGGATAAGGCGCTGGCATTTGAAGCGATCGCTCCGGAGTCCGAATCCCGGTGGGAACAACATAGCTCATTAGGTAGCAGGTACATCCAGCTAACGAGTCCCAAATAGGAGGAAAGGCGCATCCTGGATTCCACTGCTAGTCACGATCCATCACTAACATTCTTAACCGTAATCCTACATCATGTGACACAAATTCCCTGTTACATTGATCACTGTCACCCTGCTCCACTCCCCCATGTATGTGTAGTCTCGACTAACCGATTTCGTTTATATCTGAATTCTAGTCAAGGCATTGATTATTCACCGGTTGATTGAGTGCAGAGCAGACTGTATACTCATATAATTAAAGAATAATCTACACACAATCGTTATTTCTTGATTCAGGTACATCCAGCTGATGAGTCCCAAATAGGATGAAATGCGCATCGTGGATTCTACTGCTAGCCACGATCCATCTATTGATTATTTACATCTTAATTTGTAAAACATCATCTTCATGACTTGTTTATAATCTATGATTATTGTTCATCAACCCCCCCCCCACCCCTTGGTTGATATTTAGATCGAATTGTGAAATCATCCATTAGTTATCACTTGACTGAGATAGCTGTAGTTTGGTAGACTACTATTTATATAGGGTGATGATTGAAGGTTAAATGAAAATTCCAACCGCCCCCAGATTGAAACCAGCTACCACTGGGGGTTCCCTGTCCGATGCTCTACCAACTAAGCTACGAATACCTTGTTATGACAAGTATGGAAATCACTACAGAGAAAATAATAGTACTTCGAACATGGTTTTCAATAGTTGAATTTACCAAGGAAGGTTAAATTTGATAACAAATTGGTTTTGAAAACACGTAGGAGGTGGTTCGAACTTCCTAATAGCTAAGGCCTCAAGAAATTTAACTATCTGTCCCTAACACATTTTGAAAATAAGTCTAAAGGGAGTAACTACATCTATCCTGTGAGTTGTCTTAACGATATGTTTTACGATCGAAGAATTTGGATGTCTGCTACCAACGTTTATGGGTTCAGGTGATGCAATTTGCTACTGAAGCCACTTTAAATATGTTTGGAGGCCCTTAATTGTATGGATCTATAAGTCCTACCTATGTATATGTCACCACTCATTTATTTGAATTGGTAGATACAATAGGATGTGACATTATCGTTCACATGCTGTATGGAGTTTGGGAGAATATACGAGCTTGGTATCGACTTGTACATTGACATTATGGAATGTAACGGGTTGTAGGGTTTGTGTACTTTGGGTAAACCGTAAAGATGTGAGGATCACCATTCAGTTAGTTTCAGTGAATCGAATCTTTACCTGGTAATAACAGGTAAAAATCTATGTAGTTTCTTTTTCCGAGATTAACACCAACAATTAAAGGAAGTTTGAAAACATTTCTTCTTTGTCTACTGAATTTCCAGCCGGGAGATTGTTTCTAGTCGACTGAAGGAGAAGTTAAAGTGGTTCACAATTCTCACTTATATCTACCTATTTTATTGCTTCTGTGGAGACAACTGTATAGGGCATACAACTAACAATCTTAGACAACGTATTGTAAAACACATATACCTTTCAGTACATTGAATATCCCCATTTTGACATTTAGAAAAAAGATTGAATGAGCGAGTGAAGAGACATAGTCGTTTTCAGTTTGTCTCGTACTCTACACTGATGTGAAATAAGAATCTGGTCAGCATTGGGACCTCGTATCTGAGTTCATAGAGCATAGGGCCAGAAACTCGGTGGTTGCTGGCTCGAATCCGGCTGCCATCCAAATTTCCATTTCATGTTCAATCATCATCCAGTTCTTTATTCATTCATTTTAATGGTAGTAGAGGTGATTTCAAACCACCTTGACAAACAAATCTAATCTTTGTATTCAAAGGAAGTTTGTTCAATCACTTTCATCATCATAGCCATCATTACTATGATGTAACTTTAGTATCGACGATGAATTAGACAAACTAAGGAAGATTCTCATGAAAAATGGATACCCATCTAGATTTATCGAAGAAGAACTCGAAACTCGAACAGGATAGGCAGCAGGTATTCACAGTTCCAAAGAAGACCTTGTTTATGAACGTTGGTTTTAGAGGCGATATGGCAGCGAAAATTCTGAAGAAAAAGTTGTCCAGATCCCTGAAAACGACATTCTTCTTTGTGAAGCTACAGACCAGTTTCTCTAGTCAGCAATTAATTCTGGAGTGCGTTAAGGACAAGTTGCCGATTTGGGTCACCTTAATGTATGTCTACAAATGTAATTGCTCCTGAGGAGCTAGTTGTATAGGCTGCAGAAAGCGCACACTTTCCAAACGTATCTCTGAACACTGTTGCGTATGGCTGTCGAAGGGAGAATATAAGTCAATCAACAGTTCAATTCACGAACATTTTGTCAACTCTGGACATATAACTAGCTCCATCAGAGTCCTCTTTCAGTGTCATTTACGCAGAGTCAAAAGGAATAGTTGAAAAAAGTACGCTCTCGACAGTTGTGCACACGGCAGAAGCACGCAGACAATTCATCAATTCAAACCTGATCTCTGTGTGCAAAAGAAGTATGTTCAATCTCTTATCTTACAATGCATAGTCTTAACAATTTCACAGCTGATTTTCTGATTTCATTATGATTAGTTAGCTTATTATTATCACCTTCATTATCACCGTTGTCTCATTCTTCACCTTCTTTGAATCTATCTATCTATCTACCAAGTGGACATATGCGACCATCGCATTTCATATACACCAACACTTTTCATCTTATCAGACTCCATGCCTTCCTTGTTATTTCTACTGTCTTAAAGATTATTACACAACTACTTTCCGGTGTCGATTGCATTTTTCTACCACTAATTCAATAATGCAAGTGAAGTGGAACTTTGAACTGCGGCCGGATTCGAACCAGCGACCACCTCCGGGTTTCCGACCTAATGGCTCTAACAAATCACCTACGAGACCTGACTGCTGACCAGATTACCATTTCACTTTAATCACAAGGGAGATTTTACCAAATCTAACTGAATTAGAATGAGAGGGGCAGAAATCACATTGACTATCAGTTTGACTATCTGAGATGGCCACGGTCCAACGACTAGTATGTATACTGGGTGATGATTGATGTTGAGGAAAACCTGTGGTGATTGAGATGAAATAAAAATCTGCTCAGAAGCCGGACCTCAAAGCTCAACTGGTCACTGGTTCGAATTCGGCCGTGATCCAAATTCTCATTTCACCTTCAATCATCAACCAATATAAATTCTTTGATTGTTTATCAATTCTACTATGTTTCTAACCCCTTTTTAATCTATATGGACATTATAACCGACCTCAAAAATCCTACGTAATCACCTTTTGTCATCATTTGAGCTTTACATCCTCAACTAGCAACATTATTAGTGAGTACAACCATCTTAATTGTTATTTTAATCTTCCATAATTTAATGTTAGGTTGGAATTCATCATGGATTGACATTAATTGGAGAAACATTGGAAACCTGGTAGTACTGCATAGCTACTGTTACATCCTAGTATGTCACCCCTCAGCAATGAGTAACCATCTAGGCGCGCCAGGGTTCGAACCCACGACCTTCACGTTCCGTGACAATCATGTTACTACTGAGTCAGAATCCAATCGTCTACATTTCCTACTTCTGTCAGTTCGAAATATACGGTGACTCACTGGAACTTCAGGAATCACCTCTCGAAGGTAGTTACCAATGAGCGATAGATTAATTCTTTGTGGAGGATGTAGAGGTTGAAATTCCAATTCTCCTCCAACTGAAATCACTCTATAATGAATTTCAATCCAAAATCAGTTAATAACCCTCCAAAAACCTGCCATTATTTAAGTTAAATCTTCCTCATGGATTTCAGTCTCTTGAAAGTATCGTGTATATATACAGATATGCACAGCTTGAGAATAGATCCTTTGAAAAGAGTCTTCTTAGTTGAATACCTTGTATCTAAATTTGACTATCCACATGACAAAAGAAAGGAGAAGTCAGAGAATTATTAACAAAAAGGATGCGTAGAGATGTGAAATTTCCTTTAATATAAATGTGGAAAGTAGTACATTTAACCAGTAATGAATAACACTGTTTCACTGTGTGAAATCTGTGCAGTAAACAAATTATTCTGGATCTGCCAATATATATACATACCTAATTCTAGGTCACATGAGTTTTTTATAGTTTTTTATAAGTTAAACCTTCTTCATCCATTACAGTCTTAAAACATGTAAGCTTATCTAAAACCATGTACAACTAGTGCTCATGATACGCTACTTCTATGTATCGCTCCTGAAATAGTGGAAAATATTTGTAGCTTAGGTAGATGGTCCTGGTTATATTGTATTCTCTGAGTAGATGGATTGTTGAATCATGTAGATCTCATCGTCTTTTTAAACAGCAAGATTAGATCAGTACTAACTTCTTTAGTATGAATTGAGCTGTTAAAATATCTCTCCTTGAGTAATTCAGTAGCTTGCCCTGACCAAATGGTTTGTGATTAGTTGTTTCCACTGATTGTTGTGTCATTGACTGACTGCATACATTTTCCTGTTGGCTGGCTGTTACTCTCCTTCACCTCTCACCTTTCTGTCGTCTATCATTTTTCTTTTTAGTTGATAGATTGGGTCAATGTCTATACATCTATTGACTGCTGACTGACTGACTGACCCTGAATACCAAGCTTCAAATTCGATAGTGTAGAAATATCGGACGGAGATGGGAAACACAAAGAATGTCACCAGAGAATTCCTAGAAACTTGGGATTCAGGTTAGTCAGTCACTCAGTCAGCAATCTGTAGATATATAGACATAGATCCAATCTATCAACCAATGAGAAAAATCATAGAAGATATAAAGGTGAGAGGAACAGCAAGCCAAAAGGAAAATTTATGCAGTCAGTCAATGACACAACAGTCAAAAGAAACAACCAGTCACAAGTCAATTGGTCAGGGCCAGTTACTAAATCACTCAGGGTGTGATATTGACAGCTAACGATTCATACTGAAGTTAATACTGATGATGATGTCACTGTCTAGAAAGACGATTAGATCTCAGTGAGTAAACAACCCATCTCTTCAGAGAACACAATACAACCAAAATGTATCGATTCCTTTCAAAAAGAGTATGGATAGACAAAAATACTAACTGCATCCTCCAATAGGATGAAATGTACACAGTACAAACCTGAAAACATCTTATGACTATATCGTGTATACAATAAAGAGATCCAACCAATTTGTAAATTTGCTCTTTTTTGTTAGGAAAAAAACAATACAATACTCACTGTGCTTTGTTCGGAGAATCAGGGAGAGTAACCTTACTTTGTTCAAGTTCTTTCAAAAACTGTAGACCCCTTGAAAAAAGAAAGAAATAATTAAAGATTGGAAAAACCTGCAATAGTTATATATATATAAGGTGGTGAACACTCAGGTATTAGGAGTCAAATCGGTTACCAACCACTGATCGATTCCTCAAGACAATCCAATCCTATAACGCATCACTTAAGTTCTAATGAATAGTTTGATAATAACGTCTCTGGCTTCAGCACCAATGGATACAGGTTCGAATAAGTTTATTTGAGATCGAAGATTCGTCTTATTAACAAACACTAAAATTTTTAAGGTCTACGTAGAGTAGATGCTTTTAGTAAGCACATGTAACTGTCAACCACCAACGTTCAACAAATTCCTAGTTGATTCCTTACCCGACTAATTAATGGAGAAGATATGATAGACGTGTAGAAACGTGTATTGGCTGATCCACCACGTGTCTGTCTGTCTAACTGTAGATGTTATAACATAAAGTAGGTTTGGATTGGTTCATCTCCAGACAAGTGACTTTTCTCTATAACCCTTTATCACCTCTTTCTTCGAAAGAATGTTATTTGGAGTCAGTCTGGGCCACACTGTCTTTTCCTTACATCTGTGGGGCTGACGCAGAGGGAGTTTCACCCTGTTTACTGGGCGACCATCAGTAGTCTTTTCGATATTCTTTCGGTCGACAGGTATATGAGCATAAAAATCAACCACCAAACCAAGAAATTTACCTACAGATAGAGAATGGGATTTGCATGAGTTACTGGGCCGATAAACAGGTGGGATATGGCTAGAGGATAATGCGGAGAAATGAGATGCCTGGCGAACTGTATGCACTTCAGAACCACCCTGCCGTCTGAATTGAGCTGAACTCGTATCACATTGCAGGTTGCCCACTGGTTGATATTCTGTGTATACGTCATTCAGTGTCTGGACTATAGCGTCGAAAGTCCGATCACATGGGCTCTGCAGCGAAATCATGTTACAGTATAGAGTCGAGCTAAAGTGAATGAAGCTTTTGAAGTAGGAGACATTATCTTTGAGGAATTATCTTGGCCAGAAATACCGCTTTGAAGTAGTCTTCATAACGCCTGAATCAAGCATCGAAAATTTCATTGGGATCAGGTTGGTAGTGAAATTCAGTGATGCTATTGAGGATGCGATCAACTGTGGTGTAATAGGCGATGAATCAGTACCAGAAATTTTGGATTGTTTAACTATCTCTATAATCGTCACTTGTTGTTCAGGGAAATCGTCCAGCTTCGAAAAGTCCATTTCCCAATATCGCATCTCCGTCGCTATTGTTATGTTTCGCAAACTGCTATATGCAATGGCCGCTAACTATGCACAGATATCGACTGTCAGCCACAAATATTCAACAGACTCCTAGTTTATTCCTCATCCGACTAATTAATGGAGAAGACAAGATGGACGTGTAGAAATGTATATTGAGGTCGAAAGACAGAAGGCCAAAACATAGTTCAACCTCACCTGGTTAACTAGTTCACTAGTTACTAGTCGATCCTAAGCCCGGATAAAGAGGGAAGGTTGGGCATAGGGCTAACAACCCAATATAACCGCTACAAAAACTTCAAAGCAAAGGTAAAATACAAGACATAAAAACAAACTTATTCCTCGCTGGAATCGGAGTGACGAAATGACGCCGGTTGGCGAAAGCCTTCGAGAAGCCGACTGACCGATATGTCTTTTCTCGATAAAAGTGAAAGTAAACATGCGGACATGGAATGGCCGCACTATGTTTGAACCTAGCAAGGCTGTCCATATTGTAAATGAGATGAGAAGGTATAGCATTGAAGTGCTAGAAATCTGCGAAAACAGACGGAATGGAACCGGACTCTCCAAACTATCTACTGAAGAGTCAATTATCTACTTCGATATTGTCACCCAGACGACAACCACGAGCACAGCACACTGAGTTCTGAAGTGGCTATCATGATGTCCCCAAGAGCATCAAAGACTCGCAGGCAGTGGGAACCAATCTCCTCATGCAGGATCATGACAGCAAGATTCAACTCAAGAGGAAGGAAAGTCACAACCATTCAGTCCTGAGCTACGCACTTACAAATAATGCAGATCAAGAGAAGAGGGAGGAATTCTATAGACAACTGCAATCAGTACTAGACAAAACTCCAGTTGGCGACATCAAAACTCTAATGGGTGACATGAATGGCAAACTCGGAGCGGACTACACAGAAAGAAAACGCATCATGGGTCGAGAAGCACTCGTTGAAATGAATGAGAATGGAGAACTGTTTGCAGATTTCTGCGCACTCAACGATTTGGTGATTGGAGGCAGTGTGTACAAACACATGGATATCCACAAAGCGAGCGACATGGATTCGGTTTCACCAGATGGACACACTACACTAAAACTCAGATCGACTTTATCTCAATGTGTAGAAAGTGGAGACACAGCCTACTGAACACAAGATCAGATCAAGAAGGGGAGCAGATGTAGTTTCACACCACTCACTATCTAGTGCAAGGAACCTTCCAAATCAAGTTGAAAGCCTTTAAACAAGCTAGTGACAGACCAAAGTTAAACACCCAGAAACTGAAGAATGAAACTACAAAGGAAAACATGTCAGCCATCAAGACAAAATGGGAGACATTGAGCAACATCTCTGAAGAAACCTGTGTGGAAGAACACTGGAAGTCTTTGAAAGAGATGTGGAAAGAAACCTGCACAGCCGTATTAGGAAGGAAGAAGAAAGAAGATAAGGAATGAATCTCGACGGACACATGGAAGCTGATAGAGCAGGGACAGGAAGATGGTGAAACAGAAAATGAACCAGTGCAAGGATGCACAACAAGAGGAGGGACTGAGTACAATGTATAAAACACTAAACTGGACAAAGAAGTGAAGAAGAGTGAGCGGAAAGACAAAAGACACTTCCACGACACACTGGCAAGTGAAGCAGAATAGGCTGTAGGCTGGTAACAGAAACGTGATAACATTGTATCAAATAACCAGGTTACTATCTGGGAAGAGATCAACTCAGATGAAACCAATAAAAGATGATGGAAATCTAATAACCAAAGAAGAAAAACAAAAGAAACGATTGGTTGACCACTTTAAAAAGTTCTTGAATCGACCACCACCTGCAACTCGTCCACAAATACCACCAGCAACATCAGAACTGCAAGTGAACACAAGCCCTCGGACAAAAGTTGAAGTCCTGAATGCCATAAGGCTACTGAAATGCGGAAAAGCAGCAGGACCAGATGGAATCTCACCAGAAGCACTGAGAACAGACGCAGAGACCACAACGGACAAGCCCACACCACTATTGCAGAAGTTCTGGAAGGAAAAGTACTTGCCGACTGGAAGAAGTGTAACCTTGTCAAACTTCCAAAGAAGGGCGATCATAGTCTTTGGAAGAACTGGCATAGAATCATGCTCCACGCCTGTCCACCCCAAGCAAAATATTAAGATGCATCATCCTAAAGGGACTAAACTGTGAGGAGTGAGAACGGGGGGGGGATATGCTAGACGGCGGAAAAGAACTTAAAACATTTGGATTTCGCCGATGACTTGTGTCCAATGTCACACAAACTAGAAGATCCACATGCAAAAACTAACAACTTGACGGAAGAAGCTGGGCATCGAAGACAGGACTTCAAGTGAATCTGGGGAAGACGGAGGTGATGAAGATACCCAACCAACGCCACCACCAACGACAACAACAAGCTCCAATCACCATCAACAGGAGAAACTTAAACGAAGTAACCTCTTTCACCTACACCTATCTAGGCAGCACCCACTCAACTACAGGCGGCACACGCACAGACAAGCACGTCAAAGCCAGCCACCATCGGAAACACAGCAACACAGACCTGCCTTCATTTACCTCAAACCAGTGTCAACATCTTCTGCACTCAGCATAAAGCCTGAACAACATCCGAATTTTCAACACTAATGTCAGTCAAATAAGTCAGTGCTTCTGTATGGTTCAGAGACTTGGCGCATTACCAAAGGCATTTCCAACAACTGCCTACGTTGGATCGTTACTGAAGCTCAGATGGCCAGAATGATTAGAATAAGCAACAAGGAACTCTAGCTATATGGCAATGAACCAACGAAGCAAGAACCTATCGCTCAACAAATATGCACTGGAAGGAAGTGGAGATGGATTGGGCACACAATGAGAAGACCATTCACAGGGACATCACACACCAGGTCAGGCACTTGAGTGAAACCCAGATGGGAAACGACGAGTTAGGCGTCTCAGCTGAGGGCGATATGGAGGAGATCGTGTGAAGAAATGAAAGGTAATGGGCTGTCGTGGAGCCAGGTTCAAAAGATTGCAGGGAACAGAGTGAAATGGAGACGTGACACTGAAGCCCTATGTTCCACTAGGAACCCAAGGGACAAAATATTAATAATAGTAATACATAGATAGTTCGCTGTTTAAAATATTCCTATTGATTGGTTGATCCATCGTCTATCTGCCTATCTATCAAACTATAGACGTAATCACATAAAGTATATTCTGATTGGTTCCTCTCCAGACTATACTTTTCTCTCTATTTTCTATATCAGTAACATCAGACAACGGAATACGGTAGTGCATCACTGTGTCGTGTCGACTCGATAAATAGTCACACTGCAAACATGATGTTTATCTAAGAATTGGTAGTCACAATTAACGATCAGTTCGTGTAAGTACTATTGGTTACAGGAATATATTGCACTGCAGTTCGTTCTCTCCTGTTATATACAGCTGTGAGACAGACAGCTGTTAAAATTAGAAAACATGAAGTGATTTTTGAAGTATTGCTCCCGTTTAATGGAATGACCGTGTGAGGAATGTTAAAGTCAGGCGAAGTGTACTAGGCAAGACAGGCAAATCAATTGATGAGGTTGTGAACCATTATTAACTGAGGTCGCTAAGAAATGTGTTACACATAAAGAACCATCGCCTTCTTCGATATGCTATGCTAGTGGAAACTGCATGAAGTTGGAAAAAAATCTAGGATAGTCAGACCAACACATGTCACTAGTCGATGAAGTCAC